AAAATTATAATTTGCGTAATTACTGGTGGTAGGACCTCTTGTGAGTCCGCACGGGTAGGTACCACCGCCCCGCCTATTTCTGCCGTGAAGCAGTAATGCGTTTCGGTTTGAAGGGTGGGGCAGCCGTTGTGACTATACTGAGACCTTAGAACTATATCTCAAGGTGTGTGGCGCATTTACGTTGTAGATGTCTATGGGCTCCAGTAACCACTTAACACCAGGTGGGCTGTGAGCTCGTCCACACATTTAAGCAATAAAAAATAAAAAGATTAGGTAGTGAAAAACAAAAAGCTCATTACAATCACTAAAGAGCCATCAAAACACAGTGCATTCCTTACATCTGCGTAGCGCAAAATCATTATAAATAAATCGGCGTACCGCCCGGGGTTAGCATGTAACCGACCCTTAATGATAGTGGCGTGACTTGCGTGTGATCGGGGGGCTGTTTTGCAACAATCATTAGAGACGTTACATTGTTAAACGCGTTGTAGCTGATATTGGCTGCTCAGTAAATGATTCGTTTGCGTATCGACGCAGCATCGATAAACTATGCATCTGTTATTTAAAGTGCATCCAGCAATACAATAAAAATATGAAAAGGACGTAAATGGATTCAATAAGCGGCTCGAGAGGTGTCTACATTCTTCCTAATAATTACAAAACTCATAGCAGTGTTTAGAGATGAATACTTTAAATTCACACGAGAGATATCTGGTGGGTCGTATAATACCAGAATAAGCGTAGGTATAGTAGATATCAAACCACTGTTATTTGTACAATACATTTTAAACTTCAACAGTTCTAAAGGTGCTGGTTTGGTTCTTCTTCTTTTTTCAGTATGGTAATAGTCTTCTTGCAATGTCATTATTGTCAATGTCAAGTTTATAAAAATCTCTAATTAAATAATTAAATGATATTGATAAAAAAATAAGCGATATGAAATTAAGTTGTTTNGTATAGTAGATATCAAACCACTGTTATTTGTACAATACATTTTAAACTTCAACAGTTCTAAAGGTGCTGGTTTGGTTCTTCTTCTTTTTTCAGTATGGTAATAGTCTTCTTGCAATGTCATTATTGTCAATGTCAAGTTTATAAAAATCTCTAATTAAATAATTAAATGATATTGATAAAAAAATAAGCGATATGAAATTAAGTTGTTTTATTTGAAAACGTAATCTATTGGGATGTAATTGCTATAATGCTATATAGACTGATACTAAACGATTAATGACCCATAGTTATAACACGTTTCATGCTAAACAGATACAAATTTAGAAATAATTGGCAAAAATTCTATGGCTATATTTTTTTTAAGAGGTTTTATGACCTGGTGACCTGGTAAATAAGACCTTTAGGTCAAGCCACGGCTATAAATATTCAAAATGCGATATCTCTAGTGTAGGACGGTTCCGAAAAGAGGCAGTCCGAGACCTTGTTTGTCTATCAAACATCTGTCAAAACCGAGCTATAAAATCGATTACCCTTACTGCTACGGATCTACACTACGCGGTCCATAAAATGTTTCTAAATTAATTATTTTTGTTTCAGATTTAGTTTAAGAACCGTCAGATAGCACCAACACGATGCTGCGTTTGTTCTCGTTTTGCTGTAAGTGTACAAATATCTCGACACAAATTTTATATTTATAACAGGGCAGACAAGTCTCAGCCCATAGGTCCTAGTGATTACCGGAGTTTATGCCCTCCGTTCTGTCAATTTCTACAAAACCTAGTATACTATATAATCATAATAAATCTAGTATCATAATAAATCTAGTATACTTTCTGGTTTGAAGATTATCTGAGATTTTTCCTTACAATGTGCGCGGAGACTGTGTCGAGGAAACATAGGATTAATTCCACGTTTTCTTTTTAAGTGTCTTCTTGTTCAATAAAAATACCAACTGGATAGTCTATTTTATTAATTCTATTAAATAACTGGATATCCGATCGGAGTTCAGAACAACAATGTAAGCACGATTGAGTTAAGTACAAAGGTTTATAGTCAATTTAGATGTTCTTAGAGTACATCTGTGAAAATTGTCAAGTACCTATTCGATGAAGAGAAACGCAAATATACCTGAGATGTCGTACATTCACCATCTTAATTTGATTTCACATTTAATTTAATATCTTCTAAAACAACTGCCTATGCGCTTCCGTAATCAATACATATCTTTATTTAAGTGACTGTAGTATTAATATTTATTACTATATTTTATATATTATAGTATATTTTTGTTCTTAACTGTAATAATTGTTTTGGAGTAGCTAGCACCGATGTCAAATTACAAGGAATACCGTTTTTATTGCTTAGATGAGTGTACGGGCTTACGGCCCACCTGGCTTTAAGTAGTTACCGGAGCCCATAGACATCTACAACTTAAATATCGCCAGCCACCTTGAGATACGATTTTTAAGTTTTATTCAGTCCAATGGCTGTTCCACCGTTCAAACCAAAACGCATTACTCCTTCACGATAGAAGTAGGCAGGGTGGTGGTAACTACCCGTGTGGACTCACGGCACGTCCTACCATCAGTAAAAACCGTGTACCAAATGAGAGAACGTACAATTTTTAACTCAATAATATTTGATCGTCTTTCACAAGACGTAGACAAAATTAGAACTGCTCTTACGGCTTAATCTCGAATTTATATACTTTATAGTTTCTATGGTTACTGACGACTAAGATGTTATAGATATGAACATGATTCACCAAAATCTGTAACTATACTTGAGACCTTAGAACTTATATCTCAAGGTGGGTGGCGTTTACGTTGTAGATGTCTACGAGCTCCAGTAACCACTTAACACCAGGTGGGCTATGAGATCGTCCACCCATCTAAACAATAAATAAAAAGATCTCGTCTAGACTGAATTTTCCAAATTAGAATCTGCTCTGGATAAACCAAATGAAATAATTCACAGTCTGCTTACCTACGTCTCAGCAAATTTGCAAATTCAATATTCTCACGATTTAATCCGTAGGTATCTAATTTTGTCTAAAACAATAGACCTAATGTTATTTCGAATTCAATCGCGTAATTTGTCAATTGTTCGCATAATTTTCCCGATAGCTATTCAAGTTTATATATCGGAACTCGATGAAGTGTGTTTTTGCTTTGGATAAATAATTTAAGTTGTTGTTTTGAATTAGGCCTTGTATGTCCTAATTTTTTTGTGCTTATTTTTAAATATTAATTTGGAAATTTAACGTAAATAGCTTGTACTGTTTAAAGAATTTGCGTAACAGCTTTTAGTGATTTCTAGAAATTAGCTACACCCAAACTATAGATCTTGAAACATCTTTATATATAAAAATGAATTGCTGTTCGTTAGTCTCGCTAAAACTCGAGAACGGTTGTACCTTTTTTTCTAATTTTGGTCTTGAATTATTTGTGGAAGTCTAGAGAAGGTTTAAAAGGTAGATAAATATGAAAATGCTCCTAATTAAATAAAAATAACAATTTTGTTTTCCCTTTGATGTGTCCCCCGTCAGACGGATTCCTTTTGTGTGTTTTAAGTTTATTTTATACAAAAGTTTAGGTATTTTATTTATCGATTGAGCCACTACGAAGTCTGCCGGGTCAACTAGTATTTTAATATAATCATGGTGAATACCGGAAGACCTCATTAGTCTATGATCCACAATGCAGAACAATAGCCTTCCTATTAACTAGATGTGTTCGGATACCCTTGTTTACATAGAAATCATTGCAACTGAGAATTGTAACATCGAAGGAACTAACAACACCTTCGCACAAAATTTCTACTTACATGTTCATAATTGTGTCTTATCGTCAATTTGGTACAATTAATATTCCAAACGGTTTTCTATCTTTATCTTCTCTATATATAAAAATGAATTGCTGTTCGTTAGTCTCGCTAAAACTCGAGAACGGCTGAACCGATTTGGATAATTTTGATCTGGAATTATTTGTGGAAGTCCAGAGAAGGTTTAAAAGGTAGATAAATATGAAAATGCTCGGAATTAAAACAAAATAACAATCTTGTTTTTCCTTTGATGTGTCCCCCGTCGGTCTTTTATTTATCGATTGAGGCACTACGAAGTCTGCCGGGTCAGCTAGTATAAAATATATATTTCTTCTGTGCGTGTGTTTGTCACTGAATCCTAAACAGCTGGACCGATTTTAATGAAATTTTCTGTGTACCTTCAGGTGGATTCGAGAATGGTTTAGATTTACAAATCAGCCCAGCAGATGGCACTGCAGTCGATATATAGGTTATTTATCTTTCCTAGAAATAATTTATATGCCACAACAACGTTTGCCGGGCCAGCTAGTCTTAAATAATACGCAACATTTATCTTTGTAATTAAAAGTTCGTTTTATTTAGTAGGTATTCAATGTTTTTAATTGAACTTTAATTAAGTTCATCCCATTCGATTCCCATTTTTTAATTTTAAACTTTAACTTCTGTTAAGTTGTAAAAATGTTACTTGAGCCTTTCAACCGTCGATACGTAAAATATTTTGTATAGTGCTAATAAATTTATATGATACTTGTTCAAAACTTTCAAAAGTATTCTTTTAGTGTTATTTTTCTTTTAAATTTCGAATTATCGATTTATACAATGTTCTGATTGTTGAGTTCTGTGCCACTAATCTATGGGTCCATAACCGCAGTATTTTCTGACTCGGTAACTAATTCTGAAACTCACTTTTGCTTTTGAAACAATGTTCCTAAGTCCGATTGCTCCATTTCTGTCGTGAGCGTGACTACCTAGCCCGCAAGCTTCCGTATCGCGGTCAGAACCCTGCGGTTTAAATGTAACCCGTTTTTTAAAATGCCAATTTTAATTTTGACAATTTTTTTGATTACAATACTTTTTTTTATTGCTTATGCCGGTGGACGAGCTCACAGCCCATCTGATTTTAAGTGATTACCGGAGCCCATAGACATCTACAAAGTAAATGCCTCCACCTACCTTGAGGCATGAGTTCTAAGATCTCAGCTTTTACAGTACAACAGCTGCCCCACCCTTCAAACCGAAACGCATTATTGCTTCACGGCAAAAATAGGCAGGGTGGTGGTATGGTACCTACCAGTGCGGACTCACAAAACTTATTTTCTTCTGTGGTACTTCTTCTATATATACCTATTTACGTAGTCCACATAAATACATCTCGAGGACGCTCGGATCTAATGATGATGCGATCTCAACACGTTACAAATCAACTAATGATAGCTCGTAATTTATAAAGCAGACAAAAACTAATTCTATTTGTGGTAGTTGTTCTTGCTGGGCCTAGTATTAGCAAACTCCCTCAGGTTGAGCCCGTGAATAGCCCCATATGATACGCATCGCCAAACTGCGAATTTTTGTCGAGGCGAATCATTCATTCCGGTTTAAAGGGTGAACCAGTTGCTATATAACTAACATGACAATTTTTTTTTTTGTAAAAGCAGGACATCTGCGGAATTATATAATAAAAAAAGTATTTAGTGCTTTACAAGTATTTTTTTGTAGAAGATAACACAAAATAATCAAAGCACTAAACACAAAATAGTTAATACTCTGTAATAATATGTACTTCTTTTGTTAAATTAGCCCATTTAAACCCTTCCAGCTCTATGTTGCATTGAATTTATCGTATGTTCTGTTTGCAAAAGCGGAACTATGTTGGCCTCACTCGGGACAATGGGACAGAATGCCCGAAAGCGGGACTGTCCCGCCCAAATCGGGAAGTATGTTCACATTATATGTAACACAGCTGAGATTTCAAGCTAATATCTCAAGGTGGCGGCATTGATATGAGCTCTTGTGTCTAATACAATAAATAAAAAACGGTAACTAAATGTCTCCGACGGCTTGTCAAAACCTCCACGTATATAATGGTGTATCGTTAGATGTTACGAAAAGTTGCTTGTTCTAGAGTTTCGAAATAGATAATCCCACGCGATGTCATCTGTAGCTAGGAGGCCTATTATGTCAGTTACGAGTACTTAGCGACCACTTCGCAAAAGTGTACTCACTCAGTAGACATTTTGAGCCGTAACTTAAGAGGCGTATTTCAAGTTGAAGCTATAGTCGGTTTGTTGTTTGATGTGTGCGTATAATGGGACCTGCGGCTCAATGTTAATTAAGAGTGTTTTCTTTAGATTATCGTATGAATATATAGGACACCATTAGCTAAATGATTACTGTAGTCCATATACGCAGAGCTTCTATATTTCTATATTTAATTGGTTGTTTAATTTTAACTACAAGGATACTGAAATTTTACTACATAACTTTTAATATTTTTTATTTTACCCACACACATCCTCTTCGACTCACTCATGCTCGGACTCATTACACACAGAGGGTACATTAACACACTCATTTCATTAATTTTTGTTAATTGTAATCTTTTAAGCTCACATATTATCACTTTTAGACAATCCACGAATTTCAGTTTAATTTTTGTCTAGTAATTTTGTATTTTTGTGTATCTGGAGTAAAGCTGTTGTATTCCTTGTACGAAAGGAGCACTGCTGCTTGAGACACAGGTTTTATCAATTAGTTTAAGCACACATGCAAATTATGATTGTGTTTCTACTTCTATGTTAACAATAAATAAATCAATATACAGCGCAATGTAATGCACAATCAATTTTGTTTTTCCTTTTTTTGGTTATTTCTTAATCTCCTACCTAATGTAGCCTTGAGAATCTACTACAGATTACTTTGAAATACCGAAGCGAATCCCCAGCACTTGTCACTCGAGCGTCCAATTTCTAGGCCAACACTAGAGAGGTAGGAGGGACGACCGCGATTAACACGACAATGAGACACGCGACCACTACAAACAGAAAAGTCTACAGAGCATTCTAATCCACTTATTTCTTTATTGCTTAGGTGGGTGGACGAGCTCACAGCCCACCCGGTGTTAAGTGGTTACTGGAGCCCATAGACATCCGCAACGTAAATGCGCCACCCACCTTGATATACAAGTTCTAAGGTCTAGTTACAACGGCTGCCCCACCCTTCAAACCGAAACGCATTACTGCTTCACGGCAGAAATAGGCAGGGTGGTGGTACCCACCCGCGCGGACTCACAAGAAGTCCTACCACCAGCTAGTGACATGAGATTCATCTGAGTTAATATAAATAATTAATTTTCCAGTGCTTGTGGCTGCGGCTGTTGCTCAAAATGGTTATGAGTATAATCGTCCTGGCCGACCATTTGGGACGGGCTCTTCATCTACGCGACCTGGTTATCCCTCAGGGCTTTCAAATTATCCTACAACTACGCCCTTCTCCGTTCGACCTCAGACTGATGGCTACTCCAGCTCTACGCCCGGATATCAAACTGGAACTTCGGGCTACCCATCAAGCCCGGGATACTCAGGGACTAGTCAACGACCACAAACGGGATACCCTGGACAAGGAACATCGTATCCTAATTTAGGAGAACCGGGAAGTCAAGGGTTAAATGACCCTAGTAGATACCCTGGACAAGATACATCGTATCCAAGTATTCCTGCATACTCAGGCCAGCCAGGATCATCTTACCCAGGACAATCCGGAATCTATCCTGGTCAAGAATCATCTGGAAATTATCCCGGTCAGGGTACCAGAGGGCCATCAAGTTCATTCCCTGGGTCTAGATTCCCCGGTCGACCCGGTTCTCCTAGCTTTAATCCCGGTTCTTTTTCACCAGCATTCGGTACAGACGGCACTGGTGCCTACGAAGGTGGGGACTACTCTGCTATACCCGGTCAACCCGATATAGATTATCCTATATTGTCCGACATTCCGCAAACCTCATTTAGCTGTAACTCCCAACAATACCCTGGGTATTACGCCGATGTTGAGACCCGTTGTCAAGTGTTCCACGTCTGCGCGAACAACAAGACTTATGACTTTCTTTGTCCTAACGGAACTGTCTTCTCGCAAGAAGTTTTTGTTTGCGTCTGGTGGAACCAATTTGATTGTAGCTCAGCTCCCAGCCTCTTCAGCCTAAATGCAAATCTTTACGACTACTCTATAACGGGTTCTCAGGGTGGATTCCCAAGTTCAGGACTCAATAATTATCCCGGAGGACAGCGTGGACAGACATTCCCAGGACGTGGACCATTAACACCTTCGGGTAATTACCCTGGACAATCAGGAGCTCAAGGACCATCTGGTTTCCCAAGTAGTTTGGGACCGCAAGGGCCTCAAGCTAATTTCCCTGGTAGTTCTGGATTCTCTGGGAGCGGACGTCCTCAGAGTCCAGTAAGGTATCCTGGTAGCTCAGGAACACAAGGTACCACGAGCAACTACCCCAGTACTTCTCAAAGCTACCCTAATGGTTTTGGGTCTCTGAATCCTTCTACTGGTTATCCTGGTACAAACGGCGCTCAGGGACCTTCATCGACTTACCCATTCACTTCAAATTCTAGACCATCTACTGCCTATCTAGGCAGTGGATCTACTGGAGGATACCCAAACTCAGGGTCTTACTCAGGCAATTCCGGGCCTCAAGGTCCCACAACAGTATACCCTGCTACATCAGGCACTCGGGGACCGTCTTCAACATACCCAGATACATCAGGACAGCGCTACCCGGGATCAGGGCCAGGAGGGTCGTCTTCTGGACCAGGATCTAATAACTATGATGGAAACCAAGGATACCCCTCAGACAAACCAACCGGCTCATTTTTCCCAACCGGAAACGGAGGTAGACCACAACAACCGAACCGACAATATCTTCCACCTAGAAACTAGCCAGTACGTATTTAATTTAAAATAATGGTGTCACACACGTATTAAGGATATTTAAATACAATTAGATACGATTAAGACAGAGCATGCAGCCAGTATGTAAGTTGTAACGTAAACAGACGAAAATGTTGGTGCTATTATGAAGAAAAAAAATAGAATTAAGAATAGGCTGTATATTTTCAAAATAAATATATTTTCAAAAATGTTTAAAATAATAAAGAAAAAACATGTGATTCGGGAACCGATGTTACCAATAGTTTTTTTTTTAGTGAATTTGTTTGATTTATTTTGATTTTGCTTAGTTATATTATTAAGAATATAATGTATCTGTATTTGTATATACGCATTTTTTTACAAATAAACTTGCATGAGCAAAATTACGTAATTACTTTTCATCGTGTTCATATAATGAAACTCTAGCCGTCCGACTTTTTCTCCTCATCCCCTCCGAATATGTGTGACTTCCAAAACAAGAAATATTCTTATTAAGTATTTCATAAATTTGATTGAGTTCCGTACAGGCTATTGGCAGATCATTACCGTCTAAGACGATTTTAATTAAGCCTGGCTGGCCGTGTTTTTTGTGCTGAGCTTGTTGAATCAAAACTTGATGCAATTTTGTGATGCTTGTGTATGTTAAATTGTTGTAAGCCAAGTTCAGATAGCATAACACAAGATTGCCAATGCAAAAAGATTCACCGTCTTTAATTTTTATAGAACCTGGGCCGAAAGGGTCCATATAGGGTCCTAGCATTTCGTTAGCCATCATCTCGGCTTTGCAATTTAAATCGTCGTCAGTTAAACTGCTGCGTTTAAGTTTTTCTTTTCGTGAATAGCCTTTACCTTTAACTGAAGTTGCTGAAGTCTTTCTCTTCTTAACGGTGGACTTTTTGCTGATCTGGCTGTATTCATCAAAAGATTTCGAATCGCATTCTCCTATATATTTCATTATAAGGTCTCGTTTCGCTCTCAAATAGCCAATGCGTCTGCGACGTTTTTCTACAATTTCATCGCAAGACAGTGGAAAATCTATTAGATAATTAAATAAACTACAGGCTCCATCATCGGTGATGCGATTACCGGCCAAATTTAAGTACCTTAAGTTTCGGTTTGTTTTTAAAGCCTCTGCTAAGCTTGTTGCACCCACATCGGTTATCTCGTTGATGGAGAGATCAAGGGTTAGTAGATTCGCCTCGGCTGGCCCAAAGAGCTGAAGTTTTGAAGCTATTTGCACACAGACATCATCACTTATTAAGCATTTGCTTAACGAGAGATGGTTTAATCTAATCGGCGAATCTAAAAGCGTTGCATAATTGATTTCTGAAAGTGTAGATCCATCCAGACACACATCGGTTATCGTGGAAAATGGTATCATTTTTCTCAATTCATGAATTGTGTAAACGTTTGTTTTGCAATTTCTGATATTGATTCTATTGAGTTTCCGAAAATACGGTACCATTAGTCCTATTAATTGCATCAAAATTCGAGGAACATTACTGACTTTATTAATGACAATTTCAACTAGATTATTCATGTTATCGTATATAGTTTCTATGACTATAGTGTCTTTATATTCTATGGATGCTTGCGATGTTGCATCAGTGCAACAACTCAATGCATTCATGTCCAAATTTNTGATTCTATTGAGTTTCCGAAAATACGGTACCATTAGTCCTATTAATTGCATCAAAATTCGAGGAACATTACTGACTTTATTAATGACAATTTCAACTAGATTATTCATGTTATCGTATATAGTTTCTATGACTATAGTGTCTTTATATTCTATGGATGCTTGCGATGTTGCATCAGTGCAACAACTCAATGCATTCATGTCCAAATTTTGTGCATCTTCTCTTGGTAATGTTGCGTTGTTCTTTCTCTTAGAGTCGTTTCCTTTCGAGGATTTATAAAAGTAATCTGTCAAATAGAAACCAACGAATGAGGTTAAATGCTTTAGTTCAAGTTTTATTCTATGACGTCGCTCATTTACTTAATTGGCTTTGAAAAAAAAGGAAAAAATATTAGTTAATTAGTTAATGTAGGGATTTTTTATTGCCCTTGTAGGTAGACGAGCATGAGTGGTTACCATCGCCCATGGACTTCAGCAATGCCAGGGGCAGAGCCAAGCCGCTGCCTACCATAAAATCGTTATTTCATACTTGATTCAGCGAAGCATTGCCCTTGCTAGGGCCAGTGTTCGCAAAGTCGCCAGGTTGAGCCCCATGAGCTCGCCTGCACGTCCGATGAAGCTAATGTTATATTACTTGAGATTACTAACATAAGTAGGCAAAAAAATACTCATTCAAAACGTTTGAATGTCCCTAGATTTCTGTATGCTAACACCAGGTAATGCGCCGTTCTACGCGTAAAAAATCGTTTCCAATCTTGGATTTTGTTTTTAAATAATATACACTCTGTTTTTTCCATCTTCTATTGGCTATGTTAGGAGGAGTCATATTTTTATACATACTATATGAAGTGGTAAAACTAAAGACAACAAAACTTGTTTGATTACTAGCATGACAGACGGCTTAGGTCCAGACCTAGGTCCAAAGTGACAAATTTCTGGCTATCCCCAGATAAATGCGGTCTTCGCAGTTCGTACTTACCATGCTATTAGAAAAGGCTGACATTGAACTAGACGTAGTTGCGTGTAAGACAGGTAGATACCAGTTGAATCATAAGAGTTTCTCAAATGCATTTAGACAATAATATATTCACAGAGTGTAAACAAACAAACGTGGTTCTGCTAATCCTTTTATGTTTATTAAATAGATGTTGATTGCCTTCCTCAGTTTTTTCTCAACGTCTGATTGTAAAATGATTAAACTATATAAAACAACATTATCAAATCTTATTTACGGACTTACCTACCATTTTGGAAACTTTTTCTTACTACAACAGGGCAAGGACAAAGAAATTGTTTTGTCGCCATTTCTATGTAATCTTTGAACTCCATCACTTTAGGGTCAACAGAGTCATCATGAGCAGATTTGATCGATTTTAGAGACTTTGCCGAACGTACCCACCGCATCGATTGCGTTTTGACTGTTTTCATTTTGTAAAAATAAAATAAGAATACAAAGCAAATAGTGCTTAAGTATGTACTTAACAAAATAAATAGCTTTAAAAAAAAGATTAAGTAAACAAAATTATATTATGAAGGTACGATATTACATCCATGTCATGATGCTATGTCAAACATATCCATTGATTAAATTTAGAATTCGGTTACATAGACATTCTAATTTAAAAACAGGATTACAAATTGATAGAGTTCTTAATTGCTTTATTTAGTTAGTATCTTTAACCTATTAAATAAGGTAATATTCTCATAATAATATGACTAGTAATTTGTGGTCACAGTTTTTATTTTATTTTATTCAACGATTTTTACATTTTCCACTCTCATTTTCTCTCATTTTTGTCACGTATCTCTTGAAATGTATTTATTACCTATGCGTATCTCTATTTCTGTTCACATCCTCGGAGTAATGTGTATTTTTTATGGTAGCTAATGAAGACTGATGAATAAATTTAAATTGTTTAATACACTAAATACATATGTACCTATACATATATGTACAACTAAAATGTGTTTTTGTCTGAATCATAGATTATGTAGTATCATCATAAATTATAATGAAATACGAAGAAAATCGTAATAATCTACTGAATTACTATTTCATAGAGAATAGAGAACAAATAATTCTAAGTTGCTTGTTTGTCTTCTCTCCGAAATAGAAATAAAATGTTTCGACTTTCTACCGTAGTTATTTTTAACTATTCAAAATCAGTTGTTTGCTTTAATTCGATTTCGATTTATCGCCTCTGATTGTATCCCTAGGAGATACAATTAGGTACAGAAGATATTTGTGATACCTCTATGCAGTCTATGGCTAAGTGTATGATCTATGGTGCATAGATTATATACATAATATTTTGACTTTTTGGCGGGAACGCGAGTAGTGAAGTTGTGTGATTTGTTTTATTTTGTCTATTTTTTTTTCACAAGAGAAAATCCCCGGATTCCCACCCGCACGGCAGGTGGGGTATGTGGGTGTCGAACCTCACTAAAAACTCCTGCCGCTCACAGCCGGCGCCCTACCCCGGACCGGGCGGGAACCCAGTCGGAGCTATTGAGACGGCGGGACAGGGTTTACGCAGAGCATATTGTCTGTCTATTTAGTGTTTCTTCAGGTTTAAATGTGTAATAATGGTGGTTTATTAACTGCTTAATATCTGTGAAAGTGCACAAATGTGGCAAAATGAAACAAAGCCGCTGAACGTAACTTCTCGGGATCCTCCAAAAAGTCCTATGAAAAAATCTCAGTAAATGAGCACCATGTTTTTTTTTTTTATTTTTTTTATTATTGAAAGTTTACTGGTGGCCCGAAGGCCTTTCCAGTTTCACCAGGACAGGTGGGCGAGCAAAGGCTCAGCCAAGAGGGGTGGGATTTGCTAACAACTGCCCGAGCGCCTCCGAAGGAGACCTAACAACTCAAGAGCAATTGTTTCGCGAATGAATCTACTACCGGATCGGAATCGCGACCCGCTGAGAAGATCCGGCGAGAAACTCAGCGGGCTGATGCATGGGTTAGGTTGCACGTCGACCTCTTTGTCGAGTTCGACGAGTACGGTTACCGGGGTCCCTAAGCCTGCCCCTAGTATTAGAGCTGAAGGCATCTAATGCAAAGGTTATTGGATCTGATGATTACTGAGATTATATTTCATCCCATATCATCTCATTTAATTTCATCCCAGTTGATTAATGTCTCAAATTAATCATCTTCATTTCATTTCACTCCATAATAATATCATTTTTCATAAAAATATGAATATAAATTAAAATAAGACATGACTTAAAAGTCTTAGTCACCAGGTCATAAAATCCCTTAAAAAAACTTATTTCCTATACTATAGTGTGTGGACTGTGGGGTTGTATGAATTTGTCATTCATGCTTGGCTGGTTGTTTTACATTCTTTGCAATTCGAAGGTTTTTTTATAGACAGCCTAAAGCTTGAGATAAACAAGCAGTGAAAACATATAAAGTGCTAAACATTGATTTTTTTCCACCGATACAGTGATGTGAAAGGCCTAATCAAAGTGGCGAGTGGCAACTATTGCGTATCATGTAACCCGTAGTTTATATTCTGTTACATACTGCATCTAGTTTACTGGATTCACGTACGTATTTTGGCAATTCAGAAAAACTTTCAGTGAAATTTCCCCAAATTTAAGCTCTTGAGTTAGTGCTGTGGAGTAGAATAAGCTGTACAAAAATAGGTATTCAAATTACGAGTCATTATGAGATAATGTCAAGGTTTTTCATGACCTATACACTACAGTAGGTACTGTGTAAACAGATGATAGTAAGAAACATACATGCAAATACATAAATGATTTTTCGGAACTACTGTTTAAAAATTTAATTTAAAAAAAAAGCATTTTCAAATTGGGAAAAGGAAATTATAGTGAATCTTTGATAAATTAAGATAGATACATGTTGACAATCAAAAGCTAATTAAATATTTCTCTTGTGTTCTGTTGCTGTCTACGTTTTCCTTAATTGAATCATCTTTTATGCAGTGTTTTTGGCTAATGCTTGTTAATCTAAACTTTTTATTATATTGTATTTCCATCTTCAATAAATTCTTGTAATATCCTTCTATAATGTATTTGAATATTAATAATAGTAGAATCAAAATTGCATAATTGTTTTAATGTCATGTTATCTAAACTACAGGAACGTCTATTAAGAATTAAAATGAATTAAAATTAAAGAGCTATGTTATGTGGATAGTCCCACAATGATAAAAATTATAAAATAGGCTGATTAATATTTACAAGAGAAAAATTCTTAAATGATTTCCACAAATTGAACAATCTATACAATAAGTTCTTCTTAGATCCACATTCCTACAAAAGTAGTCAACTTGATCAAATAATTTACTCTCAGATATCAGTGCAGCTGCTTAAATATTCTTGTTTGTTTACAAATATTAACTTTTTTTTCTAAAAGACATCAATAGCATCTCATCAATAATGTAAATAGTGCTAATGTTTGAAGCAAACATATAGCATGAGAATTAATTAAATACATTATAAAATATGATAATTAATACAGTTTCTCAAGATCTCAAATGTATTGTTAAAGAATTCTCACAATACCATCTTTGGTAGTTTGTTCATTAGCAAAAGTGAAAGTAGAATCATTTGTAATGTTTACAAATACAACATATAATCGTTATAAGTCACACACATATATATTATAAAAAAAAGAACAAAATATTCCTAAATAACCTAAAAGTATATGTTTATTATCCGCAACACGTTTTGTCAGATTACAGAAATAGAGTTGTCAGCAACATGCTTTGTCAAAAAGTACATATATATTTATATTTCATTTTTAGTTTCAAATGAGCCAAGTTACTTTGGTTCTTTTGGTAGTCTGAGTTTGCTGGATCGTCATCTTATAGACTGTACACCCCACTAAGCTTGAATGAGTAATAATGAAAGAACTCCTACAGCAAATTTCAGTTGTAGGTATGTAGGCCCATTCAAAAAACACACAGTACAAGGTTTACAATCGTATCTAAAAAATCAAATAAAATAGTTTTTTGCTGATAAGTAGATTTTCAGTAGTAAAAGTAAGCACGTGTGAACCATTGAACTTTTTGTTATTGATCAAAATGAAAGTTAACCATGATATCTCAAACAGGTTTACACTGTTATCAGGGCACTTAAATGTATAGAATGACCTATTACTGACAGGTCATTGGTATGCTGTAGCCTTTATTCTATCATCATTTGTGAATGTAACAAACATGTCGCCTTTGCTGATGTCAACAACCATCCATACCAGTATTCTTATTTTATTTGACTTTACTTTTCTACTGAACTCTGCTGTTGTGAATGTCCTTTTTTTAGTTTAGGTGAGCAGCTGGGCTCCAGTTTATCCAATATTAAACAGCTACCAGAGTACACAGAGATCATAAATCAAAAGTCATTACTCATTTTGATATAAAACATTGAACTCAGTTTCATTGAAATAACAGTTGTCCTCCCCTTTAAATCCATACATATGATTTCAATCCCCTGCCACTACTGATTATGGTGGTAAGAGAAATGTGCCAAACTTTGAGGGCTCACAAAATTCCGTTCTATATGAAAACATACCCAAATTTTTTACCTAAAAGATAACCATGGAGAGATACTTTAATTTAAAAAAATGGATGTACTTATGATGATTTGAATCATGTGATGTACTGATGTTGAATCATTTGAATGATTTGATGTGCTTATTGCCATTTTAATCACAAATAATGATAAATTATTCTGATAGAAAAATCATGTAGTAAATTTGTACTCATTATTAAGTTCTTTTGTTCATGCACTATATTTATTTAGTTTAAGAAATCATTTAATTATTATGTTGGTATTTAAATAAATATAAGTAAACTGAAAGTACATTGAAATTGTTGCAGTAACTACAAATGTGATACAAAATGAGTTGGCTATTAAGCTCATTGTCGTTGGGGAACAGGCTATCCAAGGATCTTGATCCTCGGATTGACTATGAACCCCATGCTTGCTTCAAATCTTTCTGGAAGCATTGGCAGCAAGCTTACGGCATTATCGTAAAGTCACAGGTATGTTTCTGTTTTTTATTGGAATAAATGGGAATTAGTTGATAGTTGGTGTTAGTTGTCACCATGGTCTATATATGTCACAGCATGAACTCACCTCTGGAGACATGAGTTTAAGGTATGCATTGTATGTATCATATAATGATTATTAAAATGGATTGCTTTGTGCCATAAACGGGCAGATAATGTTAAAATCTATTTATTTAACTATAATAATATACTTAATGAGTTTTTATATTATGAAGTAATGAATTATATAGTAAATACCCATTACACTGAAAATACCATAAAAAGTTTGTGTCAATTTTTAATCCGTTTTTTCTGTCTCATACTGTACATTCCCATGAATGTGCTCACCAGTGTTCAATTTTAACAGTCTGCTAACTATGCATTCAGATTATCAATGGCATGGCTTATCCATGACTTATATGTAAAACTCAGGTCATATTCTTGGTATAAAATAATACTGTAAAATTAAATAAGCATTAATTATATCAGTTTATCATATATACACTCATATCTAACACAGTGAAAAGGTGCTTTGTTAAGTAGTACAATAAACTTTTCACATTATGTTTGATATATGCCTTATTCTGAAGCGGGCTGCACATAGCCTTGCAATTAATAAAACGACCTAGATACGCGAAAGCATGACAGAGAATAGAAAGGACTTGATGTATCATCCGTTTGCCTTCAACGACATGTATGTAGTATATGTTGTTCCACGATCCACTGTGCGGTACTGGTCGATTGTTTTTCACTTCTTTGGCTACAATGGTGGGAAATGCAACTAATTTCAACATGGTATTTTGAACAATTTTCTGGTGGTAGGACCTCTTGTGAGTCCGCACCGGTAGGTAACTCCACCCTGCGTATTTTGGCCGTGAAGCAGAAATGCGTTTCGATTTGCAGGGTTAGGGGAGACCTTAGAACTTATATCTCAAGGTGGGTGGCGCATTTCCGTCGTAGATGTCTATGGGCTCCAGTAGCCACTTAACACCAGGTGAGCTGTGAGCTCGTCCACCAATCTAAGCAATAAAAAAAAACGCGGGTATATAACTATGTCTATGTCCAGCAGTGGACGTCTGTGGGTTGAAATATAGATAGCATACAACATACATACGAAGAACTACTGCGACTTCATTCCCTTATTAATCAGCGGACTAAAGTTGTAAGGTCGATGCTGTAAGTGAAACTTATTTCAGCCTCAACATCTCCACGACGATGTCCTCGGCGTTGTGAACCACTTGGAGCAGATGACGACGCTGTTGGAACTAGAGGCGAGAGCGCGGGAGATCAACGCTACAATGGCTGAAGTGTCTTGTCTTGAGCATTTGCTGGGCGAGAACCTTCTCGATAAGCTCTACGAATGGGCCATTTGTACCGGAAAGTGAGTAATGTTGTTCCTATTTTAGATTCACGGAAGCTTATCGGCTATCTGTTGTGGCTACCAGAAATAAAGTTATGAGTGATTACTGGTGTGAGGAAATTTTTGAACAGACAGGCATGTACTATGCGATTTGGCGAGTAACATAGTCGTGCCATTGAAACTTGGATCATAATTCTGAATATGGATGGTACACATTTTTTTTTATTGCTTAGATGAGTGGACGAGCTCACAACCCACCTGATGTTAAGTGGTTACTGGAGCCCATAGACATCTACAACGTAAATGCGCCACTCACCTTGAGATATAAGTTCTAAGGTTTCAAGTATAGTTACAACAGCTGCCCCACCCTTCAAACCGAAACGCATTACTGCTTCACGGCAGAAATAGGCAGGGTGTGCGGACTCACAAGAGGTCCTACCACCAGTAATTACGCAAATTATAATTTTGCGGGTTTGATTTTTATTACACGATGTTATTCCTTCACCGTGGAAGTCAATCGTGAACAATTGTTGAGTACGTATTTCATTAGAAAAATTGGTACCCGCCTGAGATTCGAACATCGGTGCATCGCCTCAACGCGTATGCACCAGACGTCTTATCCATTAGGCCACGACGACACCTGAATACAAACATAGATTACAAACACATGAGACAGGTGTTACAGCTGTGATAGTGGTTTTCTAGACTAATCGCCAGCAGAAATAACAGGAACACAGCCAAACCGCTTTGAAGAAGGATATGTCATATCTCTGGAAAGCCATGCCGTTCAATCCAATGCATGTAGTGTGTACTGTATTTATGCATTGAAACCCACTATGGATCAACAAATTCATGGAAATAAGTACTTTAATATTGCACTTCATAGTACCCACTTGATTAATACAAATTTCAATTTTGACACAATATCACAATATAATGTTATCATCGCTATCTATATTGCTACTTGTGTTTCATTCAGTGCTTCGTTCATTATAATTCTTATCGCGTTTCCAACTTAGTCGAACTTCCAAACAAAGGGATGATAAAACAGTTTGTTTGTATGTTTCGTATTCAAGTCTCATACGTTCAATTAGCTCAGTACATATAAAAACAATGTTTTCATTTGTAAATATATTTTTTATTTGCTTAGTTGGGCGGACGAGCTGTCGGACCATCTGGTGTTAAGTGGTTACCGGAGCGTAGAGCCTACAACGTAAATGCCGCCACACACCTTAGACAAGAGTTCTAAGGTCTCAATTTTACAGTAATAATAATAATAAATTATGATGCAATTAGCAGTTATAATTAGCAATGACAATTTATTGGCGTTAGGTCAAACAAATAGATTTTAGTTTAATAATGTTAATTTCATATTAATTAATAATGCAATTAACAATTAGTATTATATTATCGACACCACGCTGTGTTTGTATTCAATATTTATGATATAGTAGGTACTTGAATAGTTATGTGCACATTCTCTTGATAAACTGAAACTCAGTGAATCATATGCATTAATTGAATGTGTTTATTTATTTTGGAAACTTAAAGTAAAATTATCAAAGATTTACAAGTTTGTGTTTACAAGGATTATTCATACAACCAAATAAAATGAATGAATTATTATCTGGTTGTGCCTGAACAGAATTCATGAAAGATTTTCTGTAGGATAAGATTAAGTATACAACTTAGTGTGTAAAAGGGTCGGTCGATGCATTCTCATTGGGTTAAGTTTAGGCTCCAGTATCTACTTAACAGAAGTATGTCAAAAGTACTAAAAAGTGGCCTAAAACTAACCATTTAAATAATATCTACATAAATAAATAAATATTTACTAACAATCACGCCACGTTAACTGGTCCCGTGATAAGTTCGTAAAGAACTTGTGTTACAGGTACCAGATAACATAAATGTAAGATTTTTTATTATACACATACATATATTTAATATACATCCATAACCCTGGAAAATACATTTATATTTATTATACAAATATCTCCCCTTGGCGGGATTCGAACCCGCGACCCCCTTGTGTAGTGACCATGTCACTTGCCACTACACCAGACGGCCGTTAAACATGAACGAAGCTGACTTGAAAAGGCTGCTAAATCTACTGGTGGTAGGACGTTTTGTGAGTACACAGGTAGGTACCACCACCCTATTTCTGCTGTGAAGAAGTCATTGGGTCTCGGTTTGAATTTCGGGGCTACCGTTCTAACTATTCTGAGACCCTATAACTCATATCTCATGGTGGGTGGCGGCATTTGCATTGTAGATGTCTATTGGCTCCAATAACTACTTAACACCAGGTAGACTGTGACCTCGTCCAACCGTCTAAGCAAAAAATAACAATAATAATAATAATACACAAAAAATAATAATAAAAATAGACAATTGAAACTGAATGAAAGTTTTTTTTTTAAATAAATATTTTTTAGTCGTGCGTTTCAAAAATGTTTAACCGTCACTTACAAGGAAGGCAAGATAATATGTAAGTAATAATCCGTGCATGAACTAAACATTTCGTGGGAGAACCGTTGCCGAGAAGTCAAAGAGTTACGGGTTGCCGACCACTGCGCTAGACGATTCTGTAAGAGTTGCCACAAATAGAATACGCGTTTTAAATATATTTTGTTTCACGAATAATTTTTTTTTAAAAAACGGGGAGGTATAGTTTGTAGCTCGCCTAACCTTATATTTGTAACTGCACACACTAAATTGTGACAGTATTACACTGATTTTTTTTCTTTTTCTTTTTTACAACTATTAGAATTTATTATAAAAAAAAGAACATAATATTCCTAACCTAAAAGTACATGTTATTATCCGCAACATGCTTCGTCAGATTACAGTAATTGTCGACTTGAACGGTTCTCTTTTATTTTGCCTACATCACTCCAATACAGTAGTAGATTTTTAATTAATACCGTTTTTTTTTCAGATACGAAAATGCACTACGTCTGGAGCAGCTCAAAATGTTCGGGAGTCTGGTCAGTTATTACAGCACGCAGGTATGTATTTGATGTTACTTATTAGCAGAGTGTTGCTTGTTGGTTTGACCTTGATACTGTGTGCTTAGTGCGAGTTTTTTAACGCTCTCGATATCGTAAAAGTTAACTCTAATTTGTATGCAGTTGGAACAGCGCCCCTAGCGGCAAACGTTTGAACTGTATACAAATCTGAGTTACTTTTACGCTATCGAGACTCGTACTAAGCACACTGGTTGGCGCAAATACGCGCTAACGTTTCCGTGCAACTTGTGTGTGTGTATGTATGTGTGAGTGCGTGCGTCCGTGCGTGCCTGCGTGCGTGCGTTCCTACGTAAATAGTAATGAAAAGAAACAGTTAAGATTTCAAATATGTACTGCATATTTTTTTAAGTACACAAACTCTGAAACTTATTAAAGTTTTCAACCCAGCACACATCACTCTGTTTAAAACTGCCAAACTCATATCATTTGAATTTCCTACACTAGCGCTATTTCGGTGAGTCTTCCAAACTATAACTTACTGTTAACGTAGTGTATATTAGTCAGGAGTAGTGTTGCTATCCGTTGTTGCACTGAGCTTCAGGTGACCACTTAACATCAGATAGACCATGAGCTCGTCCATCCATCTTAGTAATAAAAAATGTAAAAATGATATTTATTAATTAGCTACCCATAATTTTAGGAGTCCAGTCTTAGGAATTTTAGGAGGCTCAGATGGCATTAATGAAACCATTCAGTGTTACGGATCCGTATGTTCTTATAATTAACTAGCTGTACCCGTCCGCTTCGTTGGGCATTTAAAATTAACATTATTATTTGTCACCCCCACAAAGATTCTCATCATTAACGCCCCCACAACTGATGTGGGGAATCCAACGCTCATATAAAATTAGCCTATCCATTAAGTACATGTATTTTCTACATGGATACCAAGTTTCAAGTCAATCGGATGCATGGTTCAGTAGTTATAACGGAACATCCGTAAAAACCACTGTAGATTTATATATTAGTAGAGATACTTATTATACCAACAGTAGTATAATAGTTTTACTTGGATCCCATCGCTATTGTACAGCTGTAGTTCAACAGGTCTTACGGCCAAATGTTGAAGCGGCGATAGCTTTTGGTAAATCCCAAACCTGTATCGATAAATATAAACAGATTATCATATTGTCACGAATTTTTTAAATAATTGTTTGGAATAATATTTCGGACATGTTCGCCAATGATTAAAACACTTCGATTAGTTTGACCCGTATCTTTATATCCATGTAACGAAGCCTTCGAAGTTAACTTGATTTTCAACAACATCAAGACAAGACAAGGATAATAATCCTGACTTGGATAAAAACATATGATTTTAATCTTTAGCTCACTTATTTTGTTTTTTATTTTTACTATATTTACACACATAGTAGTATCGACTCGATTGCAATTAATAATGTTTCAATTTTGATACTTATTTTGATAATTAAGTACTTTTTTGTTTAAAAAAAAAAATCATTTTTCTTTTCAGGTAATCGGAGCCGAACCTTTTCTCAGGCCATTATTGAAATTGCTCAGTGGCTTTAGAAATGAATTGCCGCCTCCTAATCTAGAAAGTGAGTATTGATTATAAGCTTTCCCTCATCTGAGGGTCATCGACCATAGACGACCTCCTGTAGTATGTCAAACCTTGGAACAATATGACGGTGTGATGAAAAACATCAAACCTGCAGCGTTGAAGAATTTGTCTAATGATTTATTTTCCGGCGAGGGTAGTTAGTAGCTTTGATCTCCATACCAGATAAACGTTTGTGTGACATGTCTGTTTGTTTTCGTCTAAGTATTTAATATATCTAAGGGTGAAAAGCTAATTGGCATTAGTATCAACATCAACAGTTCGATGTTTTTAATTGAACTTCAATCAAGTTTTTTCTTCGTCGCTTTATTCATTGCTGAAGGTCGTGTCCCTGAAACTTGACCGTGGCCTGTCTCGTGAGCTGTTTCCATCTCGTCCGGTCCTCAGCTTCTCGAATGGCGGTTGCGACTGGCAGCCCAGTTAGGGCGGTTATTTGATCACATCAACGGCTTTTTTTTTTTGTTTTTTTTTTTTTTTTTGGTCAGGAGGAAATCGCCGGACTTCCACCCTTTTGTGGGGATACTGGGCGGGGTATGTCAGAGTCGAAGTGACTAAAACCTCCTGTCGCTCAACAACCAACGTCCAAACCTCGCATGAGACAGAACATGACATGACAAGGCAAAGGGGGGAAAGTGAAGCGTCTAGTGCACAGAGCACATCTCTCCCATCACCCTCCCCCTCGGGACGCCGGACTGGCGGTCGTCGGCGCCACGACCACCAGCCCTCTCGGTCGGCAGACTGTCCGAAGCCCGCCTAGATGGCGCCGGTTAGAGTGAGTTACCCCACGGAATACCCCGCTGGGCCAGAACCAGCGTGGGTCGAGGATAGCCGGCCTTCCATCACCCGGATGCTCTTGCGTAAAACGCGTGCAGAGCAGCTTGCACGTCGTCTTCTTAGGCCCCCCTCGCCAGTCCCCAGACCGACATGTGAGGGGGACCCGAAACACTTGGAGGGCCAGGGCTTGGGCGAGATCCGCCTCCCTGGCCCCCGCTCGACGGTGGCGGGATTGTGCGTCTCTCACGCGCCCCGCCGCCTCCTTCTGCGAGATGGTGCACTCGCAGAAGTCGAGCATCGCCTTCCACGACTCGTCGTCGCCGAGCATCGATGCCACAACACTCGGCAACGACAAGTCGGTTCCTATTTTTGCGACGAGGACACGGCGGCTAGGTGATGATCGACCGCGGGGTCACTTTCCTTCTACTTTGCCCGTCACAATCACTTTGTCCAAGTTATCTGACTGTCGGCGGGCAATAAAGTTTACTTTTCTTCGGTTATTTAGTTACTTATCATGGACATTAATAATCCTCCTTGCGTCGCGTTCCTCAATGCTGAGGGTCGTGACCTTTACGGAGTGCTTTTGTTTGGACTATGCTCTTCCATTCCTTCCTGTGCTCTGCGCAGTGGATAGGGACATTGATGCTGGAGTCCGATATCGTCTTAATTTGATCGAACCAGACTACGCCCCCTAGGTCTCTTTCCTTCCATTCTACTGTTGATGAGTAGTCTTTCGAGATTGTCACCCGTTTCCCTCGCAAACTGATCGAAAAATTCGAAATTCCAAACGCAGCAGTACAGCGAGTGTTAAATTAAAATTGAAACCTCGTATTTATCTATATCTATACATATAAATAAAATTAGTGTGTCTGTTTGTAATGTTGAAATGGCCGCTTTTTACTACATAAATATGAATATATATACGGTACACACATACACCAAAATAACAGTTTTTACAATTTTTGTCTGTCTGTCTGTTTGTTCCGGCTAATCTCTGGAACGGCTGGACCGATTTTGACGAGACTCACTGATAGGTAGCTGATGATATAAGGAGTAATTTAGGCTACTTTTTTAGACTAGCTTCGCCTCGTGGCGTCACCCGCGGTACGACAATTACCGCGGGATACATCGCGGGACTTAGCTATCAATAATAAAATTAAATGTTTCCGAAGCGAAGCGAGGGCGGGTCGCTAGTATGAAATATGATGAGCGTATTCATGAGAGTCCTCCCTTTTTTATTTGGAGTCGGTTAAGAGGCAACGATATTAATGTGTGTATTTAATTTCCAGGTCAACTAGTGAAAGTGTTGAATCAGATCTGCGTCGCCTTAATGCAGAATATGAGGTTCATCGACCTCTTCTTCCTGACGACTCACACACACGAGCGTTCTCAATCCGAGTAAGTTGTGTTCTTTTATTGTAGGATACGATGCCGACATTGAAATTTTCAGCAAAATCAATTCTCTCTTTGTCTCCACTTTATTCCATTAGGTGGGGTCGGCCCGTGGTCGTGGCGCCGACGACCGCCAGTCCGGCGTCCCGAGGGGGAGGGTGATGGGAGAGATGTGCTCCGCACTAAACGCTTCACTTTCCCCCCTTTGCCTTGTCATGAGTTCTGTCTCATGCGAGGTTTGGACGTTGGTTGTTGAGCGACAGGAGGTTTTAGTCAGTTCGACCCTGACATACCCCGCCCAGTATCCCCAGAAAAGGGCGGAAGTCCGGCGATTTCCTCCTGACCAAAAAAAAAAAAAAAAAGGTGGGGTCGGCCCAGCGATTTTTTCTATTCCATTCTCTTCTATTAGCCGTCATCTCAACACTCACTCCTCTCTCTCTCTCTCTCATATCGTCATTCACACACTCAATCCATGTCTTCTTCGGTCGACCTCTTCCCCCTCTACCTTGCGCTACCATTTCGATACATCTCCTAGGCACATTCATCTCCTGTCTACGCATCACATGTCTATACTACGCTAACCTGTTTCAGCAAAATCTATTAAAATTTATAAAGAAAACAAGTATGATACGATGTAAGTACATTGCATCTACTAACTACTTTAGATTTTATTGTGGCTTTAAATTTCAGATGCGTACTTATGATTTTGTTTGGTATAAGATGCTCTTCATTCGAATTGCAATATTGATAAGTTCATGGCATTGGATATTTTATAGCACACACCTTACTCGTGTTTTTTTTCTTTTTAATAGCCCACAGACTTCTGACCATACGCCTCTCCCAAACTTCGTAAATGTCTGACGCGTTTGTCTTTATCAGTATGTTTGCGTTGCAGGTTTATATTAGTACGTCTGCTGCTGTCCTCGGTCCACCGTGAGGGCAGGACGGGCTCGGCAGCGCGCGACGCGTTACTGCTCTGCGCGAAAATGTCGGCCCGGTGTGACCAGCTCGCGGACTACATGTTGGCTGGCAACACCTGCCCCGTCCTAGCCACCGGTATGCTCGTTTCGATCGTTTATGACATCGTTACTAAACGGATTATTGACATTTGATTTGATCGTAGTCACTTGAAATCGTCATGGCCTATTTAACATGAAATAATAATCCTGAGGTTACAAATACATATTCCTCTAGTCGTATATATACTTCTAACTATACTTGAGATGTTAGAACTTATATCTCAAGTTGGGTAGCGCATTTACGTTGGATATGTCTATGGGCTCCAGTAACCACTTAACTCCAGGTGGGCTGTGAGATCGTCCACCCATCTAAGAAATAAAAAAATCAAAAATTTACGCCCAAACTCGTTCTTTTATTCATAATGTTGATACGAATTAAAAAGTGACCCGGAAAAAATATAGTTTTTTCATTTAAATAAATAATGTTTTTTTGAGTGTACTTATATTGATTTAAGTATTATACACACAACACTAGAAGTGTGAGCGAGAGATCCGATACGTATATAAGTGTGAGCGAGAGGTCAGATAAGAACGATTTATGGCTCAGTTCGCACATTTGTAATGGCCAAAGTATAGTTTCCTTCCTATTCGTGTTTGCTGTTTGGATCACCCTTCAACAACCGATAGTACTATTGAGAAGAAAGTAGGGGAGAGGGGGGTAATCTGGAACAATTCCTCGGAGCGTTCCCCCGCAGGAACGTGGATGTGATTTTCAGGGCCTTAAATTGCGATGCTTTAAGAAAAACATTTTTCTTGTATGCAAACTATCGACATCTTGTAGCGGACGCCCCTATACTTATACGTTGTTAAAGTTAAGACATTTAATTATTGTGTAACTGAAGACAAAAAATAATAATAATAAATCATACAAGTCTTTATTTGTTATAGACAAATTGATTAAATTTTATCAATTAGTGTTTTCTGAAAATTTACATTAAAAATAAAATATAGGATAAGTAATATGTTACTGCCGTCTACAGGAGCAATGAGAAACTAATCGAAGCGACGCCATCTAGTGGCCGACGCCCGTAAACATTTTTGTTGAGTGCTTGAGTAGTTGCTTATTTATAAGTAGTTTATGTTTTTTAATTTTTTTATTGCTTAGATGGATGGACGAGCTCACAGCCCACCTGGTGTTAAGTGGTTACTGGAGCTCATAGACATCTACAACGTAAACGCCACCCACCTCGAGATATAAGTTCTAAGGTCTCAGTATAGTTACAACGGCTGCCCCACCCTTCAAACGGAAACGCATTACTGCTTCACGGAAGAACTAACTAGAGTGATGGTACCCACCCGCGCGGACTCACAAGAGTACCACTAGTAATTACGCAAATTATAATTTTGCGGGTTTCATTTTTATTACACGATGTTATTCCTTCACCGTGGAAATCAATCGTGAACATTTGTCGCGTACGTATTTCATTAGAAAAATTGGTACCCGCCTGAGATTCGAACACCGATGCATCACTCAACACGAATGCACCGGACGTCTTATCCTTTAGGCCACGACGACTTCAAAATACAAATGTGTATTATCTATGGTGGTTTTGCAACGTTGCAGGTCTGAGCGGGCTGTACTCGCTGCTGCCCCGGACTCTGGACGAGAGCGTCTACCGGCTGACTTCTGATGACGTCAACCACGTGCACAAACTGACGCTCTTCATCGACTCCCTCGAGTTCTGTAACGCTGTTGCACAGGTATTGTTGTTTCTTCGTTATAGAGAGAAAGAGGGAGAGAGGGAGAGAGAGAGAGAGAGAGAGATAATTCTTTTTTGTACACAAAATAAATAAACTGCGAATATTAAATACAAAAAAGGACAATTGGCGGTGTTGTCGCTAACATGGACAAAAACCATTTGGAAACGAATTGCACGCGGTGTATTTGTCGCTTTGATATACACATATATACATACACAAATAACATATAAATATATTTGTAAATATACAAATATGAAGCTTAGTTACTTTAGTTAGTACCGATTTTGATGAAATTGCTCATGGAAATACTTGAAATAACTGTGTTGGACTTGTGGAGGGTGCGGGGGGGTTCACTATTTAAAATGCAAGTAAAGCTGCAGGCGGGTAGAAGATTATGATGTGCGGGCCTTATTGGCCTAACAGCTAGGCCCATAAAAATACCGCGTTTAGCAAACTTAGGCCGGACGAGCCGCCTACCCATAACTGGGACTTAAAAAATATGAAACTAGAAATTGGGTTTATTTTTAATTTGGTTTTGTATCCGTTGACGAAATTTAAGTGTAATCAGTCAAAAAGTCAAAACTGATTTGGAATAAGCCGGTTTATTTATCATAGGTACTACGAAGTAACCAAAAACAAAAGAGGAAATGTCATGCATAAAATTAATTTAAACCTTATGATATCAGTTAGTACGGTCGAGTTTCGATCGTTCAACGAACACTACCCGTAAATAGAGTGTTCTAATATTTCAGGTAGCCCACGCATCGATAAAGAAGCATCTTCTGGACTTGCTGTACCAAGGATTCCTGGTGCCAGTACTGGGTCCGGCTCTACTGCAGGTATGTGTCAGCGGCTACTGGGGGCTGGCGGGACCTTGTGTTGCAATATTAATAACGGTTGAGCTCTCTTTACTGATAACGCAATCGTAGTGACGTCATGAAATATCACGCGATATCTATAAATGAATACGTGAAGCAAAAAAAAATGGTATCCCTTTTTTTACGAAAATTGCGCGGACTGAGGAGTATGAAATTTCTCACACTTGTAGAGAGCATAGAAAGGAGTGCAGAATGATAATTTTTTTTTAAATTATGAATAAAAACACATTAAATGAATTTAAAAAAACATTACACCTACCACCATGAATTTGACACAGTACATATATATGCACTCTCTGTTTATTGTCAAACTTTTGTTACTGCTCAAAGTCTGTGGTCAAATTGGGAATAGATTAATATTGTTTCTCTTTAATATTATTTGTCTATAGTGTAGTCTTGGCGAAATCTGTGAATAAAGAAGTATAAATATAGAAGTATAATAAAGTAGTAAGTCTTTGACAATAGAACCATAATAATACTCAAAGTACCACTAGTTGTATTAATTGAGTTTATATAGTCTTAACAGTTTGTTATCATTAATTTTGAAATACAATACTATGTGTATAAGTTTTAAAATCATATATCAACTTTTCATTTCATTTTTTGTAATAAACAGCGTCTTGACAGAAATCTATAAATTTGAAAGTCAGTATACCTAGCTGAATTTTCATAAGAACTTGAAATACACATATAAAATTAGCAATATTTTATTTTATTCCAAGAAGACTTTCCAAGAATTTTTACAAATATGTCAAGAAACATACGATAGTTATTAGTAAAGAGATACTTAATACCTACATGTTGGAATGGCGTATGAATTACTATATCGACGCTTGAAAGGCAAACGTGACTAAGCGACAATGCGTGAACTTTACAGTAGACTAATTTAAAGTTGAAAAATCTGAAAAAATTTCTATTTTATCGAATCTAGCTGTAGGATTGAAATGATTTTAATAGACCCAGAAATATATATTTTTTGCGCATCGAATATTGTTATTGCCTATCATTCACGTTTGCCTTTCAAGCGTCGATATTATTATATTCTAAATGAATTACACCGAAGATCTTTTTGCACATTTGAAATAACTAGTTAATCATCCGTGTTCAATGATTTATATGTATTTATGTATAATCTAATCGTACGAGTGTTTGTTTCAGTTTTGGGAGGCGAGATTTCATTACTTATATTATATTATATTTTTACTATGAATTATAATGAAATTAACTTTTTTAATACAAATCATATATACATAATGTGCATCTTAAATGTATATCGAGGGGTGAAAGACTATATAAAGGAGAGCCATTAATTTTTTTTTAAATTTGGAAATAATACTGGTGGTAGAACGTCTTGTGAGTCTTTGCTTGTGAAGCAGTAATGCGTTTAGGCTTAAAGGGTGGGGTAGCCGTTGTACTGTTTAATCTGTGACCTTAGAACTCTTGCTCAAGGTGAGTGGCGGCGTTTACGTTGTAGATATCTATGGGCTCCAGTAACCACTTAACGCGAGGTTGGCGGTGAGCTCGTCCATCCATCAAAGCAATAAAAAAAATATAACAAAAAAACTTCTTCAACTATTTGAATGGAGTGAACTTATTTGAAGTTCAATCAAAAACTTTGAACTGTTGATGCTAATACCAAATGAAACATATTTTTAACCGATTTCAAAAAAGGAGGTGGTTCTCAATTCGACTGTATGTTTTTTTTATGTCTGTTACCTCATAGCTTTTGACTGGGTGAATCGATTTTGATGATTCTTTTTTTATTAGAAAACTGACGCTTCCCGTGTGGTTCCATTTCAATTTAGTCCAGTTCTGATAATGGTATTCATGAGAAAACCATATTATAAGTCTTAAATTTGCATTAAGTACGTGCGCGTCAAATAGATGAATAATAACTCAATATCACGCCAACCGATTTAGATGATTATTGTTTTTTAGTGCATTTTAATTTGTTGTGGAATATCTTTTTTTTTTTCTATTTGAAGTCGGTTTTTTTCAAAGCATGTCTATTTACAATTATTATTAATTACAAAGATAAATGTCGCGTATTAAGCGAAATATTTCTGAAACCAAATATAGCCTTGCACCGCTCGATATCATTTATATAGACACGAATATGTAACGGAATGCTAAATTTATAAAGTGTATATTATATAAAATGTTGTCATATTTAAAATATTTATTCGTAAATAAACATTGATTGACGTAAGTGACGTCAGTGGGCTTTTTGCACGCACGGGATATGGACAAGAACATCTGGTATGGGCCATGCAATTGAACATAATATGTACGCGGTTAAGTGACAGTACATATATATACTCCCATTTATGAATCAATACATGAAAATTCTCAATAACAAAAAAAATATGGAGCGCGTGTAACTTGGTGCAGGTAAATAAGTGAAACTTCTTTAGCGGTGTATAAGAGAAACGTCCTAGCTTGTAATGTCCCTTTCTCCACGGTCGTGTGGTTTGCGAGACGCTCTATCTATTTTCTCACTCTCGCTCTTCCTAAATTGTATCTTTTCTCTCTAGCCGTAACGAATATAAGTACAAATTTTACTTTCAACGCTCCTAAAGAAGTTTCAATTCAAAAAAATATATAAAAATTGTCTTTGCCGATGACGTATTCTAAAGCTAAAACTTTTCCTGTGTTCAAAAGAAACTAATGTTTATTGAGAGTTTTCGTGTAAGTAATCCCGTTTAAAACATTATTATCATTGTGCGTTCGCTTTTTGTCATTTTCCATTAAAATTTTTCGTAATCGAGTTGATCGCTTCTATTATTGTTTGTGTTTGCCTTAGTGTGTTTTTATTTTGTTTTGATATCGTTGCTGACAATGTCTGGCTGAAAGAATAAAAACAAAAAAGTCTCATTCAGTATCGGGTGCAATGTAATTAATCCATGCCCTGATCTGAAAGTGGAATTTGTTAAACCACGTACGGATACTAATACTTTTTGGAAGTTTTCGAACCCCCTACGTATGTAGCAGCAACCTTCGCCGCGTCACTTGAGGCCATAGACCCTAAACAGATATCACAATCAATAATCATGACGTTATCGTGTTCGTGTTATACGTAGTTCGATCTTGAACTTGATTGAACGTGACAACCAAGTGATTTTCACGAATATTTAAAATAGGGCCAAATTCAGGAGAGACTTATACAAGCAATTTAATTTTCTACTATGCAGATGCTAAACTAAATTTCTAATTTTTCTTTGTTTTGCTTTTGAGTAGTAACAAGTTGATTTATTCATGTATCTAATTGCTCCTCGCACGTAAAAAGCTCCTATCCCCCCCCCCCCAACTGTCACTCAGCCGCCACCTCCCCCCCTACACGAAGCCTACTAACGTCAATCAATCGGTAGACGAAACCGGGGCACTTGCAGAGTGGCGCCAACGAGCAAGTGACTGCCATGGTCTACCTGGAGCTCATACTGCGGTGCGTCACCGAAGACGGTCTGCTGAGGGCGGTGCTGCATTTTCTCTTCATGTACGAATATGATGAGGTCAAGATCGTTGATGTTCTCCTGAGACGACTGGAGGGGACCTCTCAGGTATGTGAAGTCATTCCCGATCCTGCGGACAGAATGGAAAGCAGTCGACGTCGTCCCAAAACACGTCATCTCGGATCCTCCCGATTAACTAACGGTGCTTTTAGGTAGCTCAAGCACCGGTCATCGTTCTCGTGGAACCCGTCGCTTGCGACGAAGGGCTCGACGAGTAAATTAACTCTCAGACACAGCCCACTGAGTTTCTCGCCGGATCTTCTCAGTGGGTCGCGTTTCCGATCCGGTGGTAGATTCTGCGAAGCACGGCTCTTGCTAGGGTTCGTGTGAGCAACGTCGTCAGGTTTGCGCCCCGTGAGCTCACCTACTAGTTAATGTTATGCAGGTAGGGAAAAAAAAGTGAAGTAAAAGGTATTGCACGATCAAAGAGTTCAATTGGTGGAGCCGTGCCGTAAAGCCTTAGCCTTTTTTCTATTCTTTGCTTTTCTTTTCTTTGTAGGTAGACCAGCATACGGCCCATCTTATGGTAAGTGTTTACCGTCATGGACGTCAGCAATGCCAGGGGCACAGCCAAGTTGCTGCCTACCATATAATCGAAACTTCGACTTTCGTCTAAAAGAAGTGCCATTAGAACTGTGACGTCTATGAGCATACACTCAACATCAGGCAAGCCGTGAACTAGTACACCCAATTAGCTTAATATTAAGTACTAATAGGAAGTCTGTAAAAATCTGTAATAATTTAAGATTTTTATTTATTTATTTTTTTGCTTAGATCTTACAGCCCACCTGGTGTTAAGTGATTACTGGAGTCCATAGACATCTATAACGTAAATGCGCCACCCACCTTGAGATATAAATTCTAAGGTCTTAGTATAGTTACAACGGCTGCCCCGCCCTTCAAACCGAAACGCATTACTGCTTCATGGCAGAAATAGGCAGGGCTGTGGTACCTACCCGTGCGGACTCAGAAGAGGTCCTACCACAAGTAAAAATGGCTAAATAGAGATCAAGTCTTGTCTCTGATAACAGAGAATGTGTTCTTTCATGTGTGCCGTCACCGTTTGTAGATTATACATTTAAGTATTTAGTATTACCAGATCGTTACCTTGACTCCAATAAAAAAATAGGTTACGAATTTAACTTTTATTTTTTTAGTTGTCGCTTGTCTCGCTCGCTCTCATGGAAACCCTGATCGACTTGAACTCTGAGGACGTGGCTATAGAACTCATCTTCAAGCATCTCCTCACCGGGAGCCACTTGTCACCGCCGCACCGTCACAATATAGCCGACCCGGAGTTATACAGAGAGGCCGCGGTGGCTTTCTTAGATCTGTCGCCGAAATGCTGTTCGAGACCCGTAGAGAAGACGAGACAGTGGGTGAGGGAACTCGACATGAGCGGAAGGAGAGTGTTAGACTTCAGAAGAGAAGAGGAAAGGCCAGTGAACGGGGTTCACGATGAGATAGTCATGAAGAATCTAGTCAACGAGGTTAATTTCAATTATGGGGTGAGCATAACGTATAAATTTTTGTAGGTTTGTCTTCAATGCATTCTGAGTTGCAGTCATACCAAAACACGGATCATGATGTTCTATTTAACTTGGGGGTTTTTTTTTGGGGAGTTTTTTGGCTGTATTCTATGGCGTATTTTTTTTAATTGCTTTTATAGGGCATGTGAGTCGTACCACCTGATTTTAAGTTATCGACGATCATGGCTATCTATACGACTTTTGAAATTTTTTATATGTGTTTCTAAGTGTTTTTTTACACTTGCATTTATTCTTTTCTTTGGTTTTTTTTTATTGCTGAGATGTGTGGACGAGCTCACAGCCCACCTAGTGTTAAGTGGTTACTGGAGCCCATAGACATCTACGACGTAAATGCACCACCTACCTTGAGATATAAGTTCTAAGTTCAAGTATAGTTACAACGGCTGCCCCGCCCTTCAAACCGAAACGCATTACTGCTTCACGACAGAAATAGGTCGGGTGGTGGTGCCTACCCGCGCGGACTCACAAGTGGTGCTACCACCAGATTAATTCTAAGATAGATAATTTTAAGATTTCAAATTGCCGATGCCAAAATCCATTGCTTGTTTCAGAACCCCAACGAGACCCTGTACGGTAACTTCCACGCGTACTTGTGTCATGCGCGATTCACGATCATATCGCGGGTGATCGCGTGCAGCAACTGGAGCTCGCGATACGAGGCCGTGACGTCACCGAAACGAGAAACGAACAACAACAAAGAAACGAGAGAGACAGACGCACAGGCCAACGCGAAAGAGCAGGACAGCCTTATTTCCATCTGCACCAGCGATTACGATACGTTGAAGACCAGCGAAACGTCTGAAAAGGAACAACACAGTCTGACCTCTCTGACGGCGTGTCTCTCAACTCTGAACGGCGACGAAACAAAACATATCGACAGCAGTGACGTGAAAGATCGAGATGATTTATCGATGAACCAAGCTAGTGACGTGAAAGATGCCGACAACGTATCGATAGGTGAAAGTAGTGACTACGAAAGCTTTAAATATAAAAGCGAGGAAGACGGTGATAATTTCGCTGAAGATTTGTTCAGGAAGAGTTTTCAGAAAGTACAAAATAATAGATTGTATGAAGTGCCTTTAGTTAGGAATTGGAGGGCAAGTGTCGAGTCGATTATAGGTCAGTTTTATTCGATGGAAACTTTCGTTTGAGCACAGTATGACATTTTTAAGATGAAGCTTATTATATCAAAGCTCTTTTAAGTCTTATAAGATACAATGGAATTAAAAAAAAATGTGTTAAGTAGATAATTTCACACTATCAGCCAATCGCCGCGGGACATATGCCTCCTCTAAGGTTCGCAACAAGGACCGCTCCTATGGACTCTTGCGACCTAGAACAGGTCGTCGATCCACCTCGTCGTATCCTCGTCTTCCAATATCATATCAGTTTGTGAAATTTATGGTTACCGCTCCGAAATATATGCAAATTTAAAAATGCCCAATTTTTTTTGGACGGATGCAACAGTGACCACACTCTCTGTATGTGTCTACTAAACTTCCGCTATGTGTAGTAATGATTTCCTATTCCCACAGGACCGCTCCTAAGCAGCTTATTAAAGAAGTCAGCAACTTTACTCGAATCCGACCTGACGGCGAACTGTCTCGTAACGGGAGTTATATCGAAGTTAGCCTCGTTTCCTACTCCACTACTGACGGCACTGCTACTCTGTCCTGCCTTCGTTCTGCCACCCAATGTGCCCTCGTTGTTTCAAGTAAGTACTTTAAAGCTATAGCAATAAGGCTGTTTTTATTTATTTATTTACATAAAAGACACAAGTAAAAAGAATCAAAATCTGGCTTCCAACAATAAGTTATGTGCGCACGACAAAATAAGACATAGTGCTGAATTTATACAACAACATTCCCTACAACTATACGACAAAACATCACGATAACGAAAACTAATCTAACTTATAATGTAAGGAAATAATTTTATTCACAATATACAATTACACTACTAACCTATTACTAACGTGGAGGATGCCCTTGAGCATTTTTATAAAGGTAACTAACCTACAAGTAAAAATATCCAACTCAGTTGACGACCTTGCCAGTTCGTTATAGGTGCGACACATTCGGATAATTGGATTATAATATGATATATTGTTTTTGTAAATTAGCAATGCAAACAAATTGCTTTGGTTGACCCTACGAGCACTAAATTTAATCTTTAGTGAAATCTGTGATAACATTTCAGGCGAATCCATCAAAGAGTGAATTATCTTATATAAATATGTTAATATTTATTGTGCCTTATTACCTTTATTTACTTCCTCATTTAGTGTTTACAAAATTATAATATTTAATCTCAACAAGCACGACCACACGGCCCAACTTGTGGAAAGTGGCCAACAGAATTCATAGACAGTACAACGTGCCTCTATACCTCTGCCTATTTTGAGCTCGAGCTCTCAATGGCATTGTAACACCAACTGTCCCAGGGTAAGGATATCAAACCGTGCTTGACACCAGAAAACAAGGTTGGGAGCAATTATCGGCAGCTTTTTGTTGCTAAATATAAAATAATCCGCAAAAATATAATTTTCGTAATTACCGGACCTCTTGTGAGTCCGCCCAGGTAGGTACCACCACCCTGCCTATTTCTATCCTATCACTGCGGTGAAGCAGTAAATCGTTTCGGTTTGTAGGGTGGGGCAGCCTTTGTAACTATACTGAGACCTTAGAACTCATATCAAAAGGCGAGTGGCGGCATTTACGTTGTAGATGTCTATGGGCTCCAGTAACCACTTAACACCAGGTGGGCTGTGAGCTTGTCCACCCATGTAAGCAATAAAAAAGTCCATAATCTGGTTTATCGTTTAACAGATACTGCACACCCTGAAAGAGGAGATAGACGAGCTGACAGACGGCATCGAGAACACGGGCGAGCTTATAGATAAAGCTCGAGTCTTCCTCATACAGAGAGAGTTGGCGCTGATGAAAACGCGGGGGCCGACAGCCGATGATAGTAAGTCAATTTTATTTTACGCAGACGTTACGAAAGGCAAAGAGAGAGAGAGAGAGAGAGAGAGAGAGAGAGAGAGAGAGAGAGAGAGAGAGAGAGAGAGAGAGAGAGAAGAGAGCTTTATTGTATACAAAATAAATGAAAATGCAAAACATTAAATACAAAAAAGTACAATGAGCTATTTACTCTCTTGAATTTATTCCTAGGTATTAAAGGCACAAGTTCTATTATTAAACTAACAATCAAGTAGTAAATGTACAGACCTGTTTACGTGTAATATGTACGGAGCTATTTTTTATGATGTTTACGCCAAAAATTCGATCTGATCTCATGATTCTGAGGTCACAATTTGATTTTGTAAGAGTGCCACAGTGCCAGGTTGAAAACAAATTGATACTTTGATTTTATATCTCAACATTGGCAATGTTCGTGTTGTTAATTTCTATGAGATCCAATAACCGCTTCAGTTGTTTTCTAACTAACTTCAGACTACTTTACTATAGAAAAAAAAGGATATTCCTGCATATAAGTAAAATCGAAACAAACTGGCAATATTTTTTCCATCTGCACTCGAGCTGTGAGTAACTTAAGTTGTACAATATTTTTTGAGTTTCAACGGTTGTGATGTCATCAGGTCAGGCACATCTACAAGACACGTCAGCGCACAAACAAGAAGATTCACCGTTCCGCCGCGTTGAGTCAAAAAGGCGTAGCATATCTAACAGCATCTACACGATGTTCGGAAGAAGATTATCATGTAAGTAGTTTTTTGTATTGCCTAGATGCGTGGACGACAGCCCACCTGGTGTTAAGTGGTTACTGGAGCCCATAGATATTTACAACGTAAATGCCGACGCCCACCTTGAGACATAAGTTCTAAGGTCTCAGTATAGTTACAACGGCTGCCCCACCCTTCGAACCGAATTACTGCATCACGGCAGAAATAGGTGGGGTGGTGGTACCTACCCGTGCGGACTCACAAGAGGTCCTACAATCAGTAATTATGCAAATTATAATTTGGCGGGTTTTATTTTTATTACACGATGTTATTCCTTCACCGTGGAAGTCAATCGTGAATGTTTGTCAAGTACGTATTTCATTAGAAAAATTGGTACCCGCCTGCGGTATTCGAACACCGTGGTATCGCTAGATACGCATACACCCGACATCTTATCCATTAGGACACGACGACGGCCACGTATTTGAATGGCCTTACAAAAATATCGTGAAAAGTAAGGTGGTTGATGCTTATGTTTTTTTTGAAGCTTCGTCGCCGTCACAAAACAGTTCCAGCCCACAGTCTATCCCTAGTCCACAAAGGAGGCCAATATTCACCCAAGAATCATATTGGAATCAATCTATAACGCTTCGTTCGATACTCAATTCTGTCATATTAGATGAATGGCTGAAAGAATTAGCCGCTATATGCGAGGAACAGGCTCTCAGGTTGTCCGTCGAAAATTACGAGGATGACACGTATATCAGAGCGGTGGCGTTATGACTGAGGGCCAGGGCCGCGAACGGCTTCAAGAAAAACGATCAAACGGTCCATGGACGTTTAGTCGATACTTCGCTTTGATTGTATTGAAGTTTTTGTTTAGTCGATTTTTGTATCGCGGTAGCGACATTTTTTAGTTGAAATTCGACGGATTTTATCAATGACTAATAGAACAACGATATATTATTTTAAGCCTAATTAAATGTGTTTATGAATTTTTCGTTTCGTAGCGAATATGTGGATCGCTTGTGTAAGTACATAAAGTGTCAATCGATTTTAACATCGATGTTTTAAAACTTTAGATTATTTGTCAGTGTTTATAATAAATCGGATTGTTGTGATACTAACACATTTGTTAATAACATTATCAGATTAGATACAGTAGGATAGAAGTTCAATATTACAAAAAAAAGTAATGTATTGTTAAACAACCAACTATTACCCAAATGAGCGATATTTTGTGTAGTGAATGAGCAAACGAAATATAACTTAGTTAATTAAAATTATTAATCGTGGTCAATTGCTTAAATTTCAAAAAAAGCCCCACGATATCAATCTTAAGACGATCAGCGTCGTAACTAATAAACAAAAATAAAACAATACATATCAACAACACTTATGAAAAATTATTACAGCAACAAGAAAACCGCAGGTGATGTAATGGAATAAAACATTTAATATTTTTAAGTACTTTTGTACATTAAACCGTATTTTTTCTATCGAAAGTGTTTCATATATCTATGTTCGTTTTCGATTATGGGTTACCTATTTTTCCCATCCGCATTTAAGAAAATTTATTTGGGAATGAAATCAAATTATGAACAATAGGAAAAACAACTTGTAAAATTATTTAAAGGACTCAATTGAGTCCTTACTACTACATACTACAGTATGACAAAGCGCCGTGTGTAGCGATGAGTTGGGCCGCACTATCCCTACCCCATACAAATTTTCTGACATTTACATAAGACGTCACAGATAGTGTATAGACAAATTTTATATTCTCTATAGCTTATAAGTTTCAAGAGTGTCCAATTGTGTACAGCTCATAGAAGCCGGAATGGCTTTGTAAAACTAATTAATTAGTTTGCTACGTTGGAACAATAATTTAGAGAATCCATTGTCGTGGGTTTGTCACGATATTCATTGACACAAATGAGACACTCTGATCTTACTACACATCATAGTACTGAATTTTACTTATTAAGCATCACATACTTAATACTAAGTACCTAATAAATTTAGTTTTTAAAATCGTCGCAATTCGTTTTTTTTTTATGTAATATATTTAATAACGCCAGAATGCCATCTAAGTAACGTTATAACTGTGATTTAGTGATGTTCAAAAAACATTTTTTAATACGTATACAATTTATCGATTAATATTTATATCTATTTTAATACGAATTTGAATATCGATTTGAAATTATTGTTGTATAATATTTCATGTTTCACTATAATATATGTTTAGTAGTAGATATTATTTACGTTGGTTTTGAATTTGGTTTGTGTTATTTTTGTGACTGGAGTTTTATGCGTATCATAAGATTTACTAATAACGTAGAAGAGATTGACGCGAAATGTTTAAATGTATATAAATTTACAAATTTTATTATGATAACTGGAAATTTTATTGTTAAGTTCTAATAGTGTCTTGCACAACCTACAATAAATATTTTCTTTCAAAGTTTATTGTTGAATTAGAGAAAAAAAACGTTTTATTTTTAATTGTTTTTCACTTCGAAAATAAATTCCAGGAATATAAGATTAATATTATGATTTGTATTGTATTTCGATTAATATTTATAGAATTTATTTTCTTTTATTATAGAACATTGTTTAAGTAATTAATTTGTATTGTGTTATATTATACAATTTTATATTTTTTTTTTTTTTTGTAGTTTTAGTGAGTGACTTATCAGTGTTTGTTATTTTCGTGAAACGATTAGTTGATTTGCTTTTTTCTGCTTTTATTTTAACGAAGATGTGTATCGATGTATCGATTGTGAATTAATTATATTTTCAATTAAATGAACAGTTACTTAAATTAACGTTTTAAGGTATTTACTTTTTATTTTTAAAAATGCTTTTTGTGTTTTCATTTACTTTTATGAATAAATTGTATTATGTTTTGCCGATCAATGCTAAATGCTAGGATTCTCAGTTAAAATAAATTACCGTATAGAAATAGTATGAAGATTACGTTTATAAACTCTTAAAATCTGTATGTGAGTGCTCTGTACCTATTGATTCAACAGAAATAATAATATTTTAAAGTAGATAACATCTCATAAAGCGACCGTAATTTATTTAAGCTGAAAATGACGAATAAGTTCATAAATATTTACTTTTATTTATAATTTTCAGTACTTAAAATAATGAAGATTAAACGGGTCTTGGAAATTAGAAATTCATTACCTTCTGATCCCCAGACTTTTTATGTCTTTGTCGAACTTGCCTCCTTGCCGCATTTTAAAATCTTTTAAACGCAATTATTTATTAGTTATTATTTCATCCTGAAATCGTTAGAATAGAAAGGTGTTTTGCATAATGTTAGTATTTTAATGAATATGTTTATTAAATTAATTTTCCCAAGATTACAGTTACGTGATGTTTCTAAGTACATTACAAGTGCAATACGTATCTTATAAGATGGTTTGTCAAAAAATTTACGATTGAAATTAATGTACAGAACCGTGCAAAAGGCATAGAAACCTTAGAATAGTCCTAGTAAACCTTAAATTAGATCTTCCTATTTCTGTTATCGATCATTTAAATGCCAAATGAAATTCACTATTCGAGGAATAGGTAGCTAAATGTTTCGACCTAATGAATAAAAGAAGAATAATGTAATTATTAGAGAATACACTCGTATGAGCTTAGTACGTGTATGTACCTATTTGTGGGTGCTCGGCGAGTGTCTTATAAAAATAGTGTCGATCACAAAGATCGATATTAACTATTTTAGAAGTCTATATTAAGACATCACTAGTTAAATCTATTTGACATGTAACTATTGTGCATTAATGTTAGGTTCCTTGTAGATTTAAATGTAGTTTTTTGAAAGTGGAAATGTAGCCGTGAACAAACAATCCTGGTCAATGTAAGAAATATCCAAGCGTTCAAGAGCCTGTTCAAATATTAAGTTCTATGGGTTTGTCTGTGGACTTTCATTGATACATATATGAATCGTTGAGTTATGGAAATTTTATTTGATTCATTAAGTTCGCATAAGTTTATGAACACAGAAATTTTATATAGCAGATGATTTATATAAAAATGTATATTATATATAATTGATGTTTACGCGACATAACAACAAAACTTTTAAATAAAGTTAGTGCTAAGCTAGCGGATTATTCGCCTCCAAAACATCACGTTCAAAGCGTTTTAAGGTGTAGATATCATATAGGCCAGCATCGATGCTGGTGGATATTTTAACCTAAAAAGTTTTTACTGCAAATGGTGAAACTCTTATTATGAAGTGCTATCACATGTCCTAATGAAAATGGATACGTCCTTTTCCGTCCTAATATATAATACGTAAGTAAATAGCTCTTGTAACTTATTCGTCCTTTAATGTAATTGAAAATTATTAAAACATAATTATACACATGTCGATTGGCTAACTAAAAATTAACTTCGATAATTTCTATCAAGGTTATGAATTTTAATGTAATTAAAACAACGTGAATTTTAGTTTTGTTAAAATAAGTAAAATTGGCAAAGGCACAAAATTATTCTAAATAAATAGGACTGTGAAGCACAATTGTAATTTGTAACGTTTTATACCTGAATTGGAAATTTAGGAAATAAATGACTGTCAACAGTGGTAACATTGTTTTATTTAAGGCCTTAAGCACACGGTGTATTTTGAAAGCGCAGACGATGCGTGCTTCAAAACGCGCGTTTTCAGCAGCGTAGATGCTGTTTTTGCGTTTGCACTAATAGTACAAAAGTACCTACGTATGAAGCTCGTATACGCGCCTTTGACACAATGCAAATGCACGTTCAAAAGGGAGTAGGAGGAGCCAATCCAATTCCATTTCCAGATTCGCCTATTTTTACGTTCTTTTTTTCTTAAAACTATTACCAAAGACAGCGTAGGAAATGTTGTCTCAACCGACTCCATTGTACAACTGGATTCAGGGAATCTCCGATTAACACACGGAAGCTACTATAGCACCTTTAGTATATGGCTGCGCGTATTTGTGCAGTGGAAGCATGTTTCACAATGGCCCCGTGTGCTTAGGTTACAAGGTTGCGTTCGAATCTCGAAGTGCGTATGCGCGAGTCATCTGCGCGTCGTCTGCTCATTAAAAATACGCCGTGTGCTTAAGCTCTAAGAGTTGGAATAATAAAGTACCAGCCCGAAATTTACCTGCTTTCGCTTGAATTTGGTCGCCTTGTTAGCTTTAGTTGTTGATGTTTGACTACTGATGGAGTGGTTTGAATTGAATATCAACCGGGAATTCTACCCGACTCTTGTACATCTTTGTTCAAAACATATCATCGATTTGCGGTAGAAATAGCCAAGATGATCGGTTTAAGCGATCATATGCCATCTGTAATTAAATATTTTTTGAGATTTTCGGGATTAATTGATCTTTCCTTCTGTTGTCACTCCTCGTAAAAGTTACCCGTGAACACGTATGAAGTACGTAATACATTAGAAAGGTTGGTGTTTAAATAAAAATAAATAAACTTATTTTTTTTATAAACCATGAATTTAACCAATCAGTGCGATAAATTCGACTATAGTTTGAAAATTAACTATCTAATTCAACATCTCTAAAAATGCTAAACGACAAAATCATTAGTGTCAAGACTGTCAAGTGTCACCATAAAGTTGTTTATAACTAAACAAAATACCGAAATAACAAATAACAATACTTATTAACCAGCAAATCAGTCAGCTATAATTTTTATTTGTAAAAGCACAATTAATGCTGAGCTATTTTGGTTAAGCTTAATTTATACGTAACAGTAAAATGTCAGACGATGAGGTTATAAAGTTTGAGATCACAGACTACGATTTGGATAATGAATTCAACCCCGGCCGTGGAAGAAAAGCTAACAAGGAACAACAAATATACGGTAAGATACTTTTAAATACAAACTATCTAATTAAAACTCCAGAATATTCTAGGTGATGCCACTACATTCAATAGCCACTACATTCAAAATATTGTTTTGTGCTATGATAATTATAAAAATTCTAAAGTTTATAAAATGAGTTATTATAAGTTTCGTATTTTATAAAGCATCAAATGGTAGAGCTTCAAGGTACCAAATTTTTTTCAATTCAGTAAATAATTCCTATTAGATTTGCATGTAATTTCAAGAAACATCTCTCTGTCCGTCCATGATAATAAACAAAATATACCATGATCATTATAGTTTATTATAATAAACTAGTAAATTACTGTTTTATCATGAATGTGTACATGAGTTTGAATAAAATTTTGATATTGTGCATGAAAAAATTAAACTAATCTAAGAAACAAGTAGGCGGCTGTTTTGATCTCTCACTTGAAAGAAGATAGCATTACAAAATATTCAAAGCAGATCACTTATGATATAGTTTCTAGTTTTTGTTTGATAAGCACTTCCATAATTAAGTCTCACATCTAAAACATACTTAAAACAGTAAACATTCTTATGTTAAAACCATCAAAGCGTAGCTAAAATAGCCCCTTAGGCAACCAGCAATTATGGAGGGAAAAAATATGCTAGTTGTTTATGAGTATGAAATTTAATACTGTGTTCAATTAACCATTTAAATTCATATGTTCCAATGTCTAAATGTTTCTGTGATTATGACGACTGACAGTTTATTTACACCACAAATATCTTATTGACGTGATTAAAATTAGAAAAAAAATTAATTAAAAATCTATGAAGTTTTCATGCATTGTTTTAAATGAGAATAGCTAATTGTTATAAAAGCAATAATATTAACTTATAGGTGTATGGGCCAAAGACAGTGATGATGATGAAAATGAAGATAATGTTAGACAGAGAATACGTAAACCTAAAGATTTTTCTGCACCAATTGGTTTTGTGGCGGGTGGAGTTCAACAGGCTGGCAAAAAAAAAGACAAGACTAAAGGTAACAAATACATATTCACTTAAGTTTTCAATTTGAAAACTTAAAAAGGTTATTCAAAGTGATTTAAGTATGGTATTTTATTAGACTTCATGAACCGTAGACATAAATAAAATCACTTTTATAACTATGTTATCAGTGACCACAATAACTATACAAAAAACATGAAACAACATTTTTATTCTAGTTGTACAATACTGACTACCCTCCACGGTGTTTCCTGAGCGCTATGACATGTCCTTCTTTAAACAAGGCTTCTGGAGAGTACTTAACAGTAGGCAGCGGCTTTGTCCTGCCCTTGGCATTGCTGAAATCTATGGGTGATGGTAACCACTCACCATCAGGTGGGCCGTATGCTCATTAGCCCACAGGGGAAATAAAAAAATGCCAAAAAGATAACTTACGACTCGACTTGACTGTTCCATTGCTTCATGATTGAAGCAGAGCTGTAGGCTCCACCATTCTTTAATGTTATGTGCTGTTCAATAACTTGCTGACCTTAGAATGTGGTGTTAAATATTATAAAAACGCATGTCGTGAAAACAGTTCATGCTTAGCAAAAGTTACTCTTAATAACTTGACAGAAATAAAACCAGCTGAAGCGTCTACTTCTGCTCCTAAGTACTCAGATAGTTCTGATGAGGAACCGGAGATTCCAGTCGCGAGTGACACAGCAGGAATCAGGAGACAGGGACAGGGAATGCGTCCACCATCGTTAGGTGGAAATGTGGGGAATTGGGAAAAACATACTAAAGGAATCGGAGCAAAATTGTTGTTGCAGGTAATTAATTATCTATTGCTCTTTGATCTTGAATGATCATGTTTATATGCAAAATTTTGTTAGGGGATTTTGTTTTTAAGTAGGTATTAAAAAAAACTAACGGACTTTAAAACTAGTAAGTACTCAGACTACGGTTGGTTGATTGACAAAAAATTCGGCACTAAATTAGGATAGATGAAGAGAAGTCTGGTACTAAACGAGCTAGAGAGGCAATTTTTTTTCCTATTTCTTCTCTGGTAGCTAAGGTTGGGTTCACACGGCATTGATTTTCATTCATATAAAAATGAACGTGTGAACGAGACAGAGCTATACTATGCACCACTGCAACGTTAAAGTTTCAGTTTCAAGTACAATGTATGTACCACTATTCATTCGTTTGTGGATGTTTAACGACAAAGGGAAGATCTTTCACCGAGCGGCTTATGTTGTTTGGTAGACCGATGGTCCGAATGTTGTTGTTCGGAACTTTTATATAAGCCTATGTTGAAAATTTCGTAAGCGAGATTCAGGCATCTGTCAAATATCTTGCGTTGTATGATGGCTACTTGCCACTTAAGACGTATACTGCAAAAAAACGTGCAGAACAATGCCGTAAACCCAGCCTAAGGGGCTATTTCAACTACGCCCAGCAGGAAGTTGCCGGTAATTAGTTCTTAAGCCCTCGTTTGCATTTAGCCTTCTCACTCTTACGAATTTTTATAATTCATTAATTGAATAACGCATAAACGTTCCACATTTTCGGAAATACGTGAGTTTTAATTAACATAATTTCTTTCTTACAGATGGGATACCAGCCGGGTAAAGGTTTGGGTAAAGATTTGCAAGGTATCTCAGCGCCGGTCGAGGCTACGCTGCGCAAAGGCAGAGGTGCGATCGGAGCTTACGGACCAGAAAAGGCAACGGTGAGTTTCACAATGCACGACATTAGAGTTTAATGAATACAAAAAAAAAAAAAAAACAGTTGTACGGATTGCAACTTAAAACTTGCTAAATTTTTTTCCTACCTATGCTGATAGCCTTGAGAGAGTATTTCAGCTTCACCCTAACGTGTAAGTGAACTCACGGGACTCAAACCGGAGTGTTGCTAACACTATCCCTAGCAAGAGCAGTGCTTTGCAGAATCTACCACCGGATCGGAAACGCGATCCACTGAGAGCATCCGTTGACTGCCCCGTAGTCTATATTAGGGCGGAGCCAAAAATATTAATCGCTGGTATTTAGTATATAGACGAAAAAAAAACCATTAACGTTGCTTTTAGGTACCACAAGCACCGGTCACCGTCCTCGTCGAACCCGTCGCTTGTGACGAAGGGCTCGGCGAGTAAATTAACCCACAGACACAGTCCACTGAGTTTCTCACCGGATCTTCTCAGTGGGTCGCGTTTCCGAGCCGCTGGTAGATTCTGCGAAGCACTGCTCTTGCTAGGGTTCGTGTTAGCAACGTCGTCAGGTTTGAGCCCCGTGAGCTAACCTACTAGCCCGGTGACGCTGACATGGACTCTCTAGACCATCAGCTTAGGTAGGAAAAAAAGTCTTCACTTCTCAATTCGTATGTCTTTTTTCTTTAATACAGATAAAAGCCAAAAAAGAAGAGGAACGTCGCATCAAAGATAAAGAAGATAATGATAAAGATAAAACCGAAAAGAATTACAACTGGAAGAAATCGCACAAGGGTCGTTATTTTTACAGAGATGCCGCTGACGTCATTCAGGAGGGTAAACCCACAACGTATACCATAGCAAGGTATGATAGAAGTACGATTGGAGAATATTTTACAAGTGGTAGGACCTTTGTGAGTCCGCACGGGTAGGTACCACCACCCTGCCTATTTCAGCCGTGAAGCAGTAATGCGTTTCGGTTTGAAGAGTGGGGCAGCCGTTGTAACTATACTGAGACCTTAGAACTTATATCTCAAGATAGGTGGCGCATTTATGTTGTAGATGTCTATGGGCTCCAGTAACCACTTAAAACCATGTGGGCCGTGAGCTAGTCGACCCACCTAAGCAATAAAAAAAATATCTTATACATCGTTTGTAAAGACGCGGTTTAATTGCGTCTTTGGAAATGGATCTTTTTTCTCATTGACTTTAAAGTTGAAAATCGCACATCTACAAATCAGTAGTACCCTGCGATAAATATTTCACATCGGCCGTGAGAAAGATACGTTTAATTTTTGCTTTTAGAGTGTTATATCTGTCGCACATTACCTAATTGACATTTAGTCTTGATAGATACGGGATCGTTGGTGTTTCGTCGCACACAGGTAACGCCCCATTCCCGATCCTGCGGAAAGAATGGAAAGCAGTCGACGTCGCCCAAAACACGTCATCTCGGATCCTCCCGATCCACTAACGGTGCTTCTAGGTACTTCAAGCACCGGTCACCGTTCTCGTCGAACCCGTCGCTTGCGACGAAGGGCTCGACGAGTAAATTAACTCTCAGACACAGCCCACTGAGTTTCTCGCCGGATCTTCTCAGTGGGTCGCGTTTCCGATCCGGTGGTAGATTCTGCGAAGCACGGCTCTTGCTAGGGTTCGTGTTAGCAACGTCGTCAGGTTTGAGCCCCGTGAGCTCACCTACTATTTACGGTTACGCTGGAATAGCCTCTCTGGGCTACCAGCTTAGGTAGGAAAATCTACAACAAAAACAAAATTAGACGACGGTCTCTTTCTAAATATCTATGTACAATGTTTATTGCCTGGTACTGTATCTATAAATCTTCAGACAAGTATCAATCGTTTTCATAGTGCAACCATGGAGTTGAAAATAAAAGTTTGGTGTAGTCTTTTGCTGTGGCATTCCTGTGGATTAATAGTGTTCACAAATCCAAGATAAATTCGGATAAAATTGTTATTTTCCTTTGCTTAAAATATCATTAATGACACTTAGTTACGTTTCGTAGGACTATGTAATTTGAAATGAATATTTGCTTTTATGATTATGATTGAGTAGTGCAACGTCTTGAACTGGTGGTAGAACCTCTTATGAGTCCGCACGGGTAGGTACCACCACCCCGCCTATTTTGCCGTGAAGCAGTAATGCGTTTCGGTTTGAAGGGCGGGGCAGCGTTGTAACTGTACTGAGACCTTAGAACTTATATCTCAAGGTGTGTGGCGTATTTATATTGTAGATGTCTATGGGCTTCAGTAACCANTTAAATAATTAATAATAAATATTTAACGTTAATAATTTAATAATATTTAGTATGAGTTATATTAAATAATAATTTTGTCCTTTATATTACTAAAAAATGAATGCTAATAACACTTTTTTTTACGAGTGTACATGCGCGAAAGTTCACCTGCGGCTATATTCAGACTCGCCAAGCTACGTCGGTCGTATTGTAATGAGCGATTTAGTGGGCAACTTCATTCGGTTAATTTTGTGTCACGGTGCGCGCGCATCGTAAAATTTCACTCTCATCAATTTTTCATAACGCGCCTAAAGAAGTATAACTTCAAAAAGTCTGTTGGGCCCGCTAGTATATATATACATAAAAATTGTTGTTGTCTGTAGTAACGAGTTGTCCCGCGTGCCCGTGATCGACATGACCGGCAAGGAGAAGCGCGTGCTGAGCGGCTACCACGCGCTGCGGGCGCAGGCGCCGCGCTACGAGCACGAGCCCAGGAGGAAGTGCCAGAACTTCTCCGCGCCGCAGCTGGTCCACAACCTCGAGGTCATGGTCGAGTGCTGCGAACAGGTCCAAGTCCTCAGGTTTCGTTATCTTTTTAGCTTAGAGGGGTGGTAGAATTGACAGCTAACCTGGTGTTAAGTGGCCGCCAAACCCCATAGATCAACAACGTAAACTTTGAGACATCACACATCCTTGAGACATGCTTCACGGCAATAATAGGCAGGGTGGTAGTATCTATCCATGCGGGTCCACAAGACAACCTACTACCAATAAAGGCACCAGGAATCTGGAGAATAGTAGACTGGGTCAGCCATAATTGCAGACTCAGAACGAGCTGTAAACTGATCTGCCTATCACATGAGACTAAATACTCAATTGTGGTAGGACCTCTTGTGAGTCCGCATGGGTAGTTACCATCGCCCTACATATTCCTGCCGTGAAGCAGTAATGCGTTTCGGTTTGAAAGGTGGTGCAGCCGTTGAGAACTTATATCTCAAGGTGGGTGGCGCATTTCAGGATATCATCCAAAACGCCCGTGAATTGCAACAAGCTGAAGACGAGATAGTGGTGCTAGAGAGGGACATCGACGAATGCGACCAGCAGCTGAAGGAGCACGACGAAGTGATAGGCAAGGTCCAGGCGATCCTCGAGAAGGTCGAGGAGCTCAACAAGCCGGACGTCTCACTTGAGAAGGCCCATCAGGTGCTGGCCAGCTTGAAGGTCAGCTATTGAGATTTTTTATTTTATTTTAACGTAAACGTCATGAGATTAAATTTGGTAACTATAAGAATACTTTATCTCGAGCACGCCTGTTAAGTAAGGCCACAATTCCAGAAAGACCCCTCGAAATCAAATCCACTAGACGTATCATCTGTATAAATTTTGCTTAATGGTATTGGGACTTTTTGGAGGGAACGCGGCCCACTGAAAAGATCCGGCGAGAAATTCAGTGGACTGTGTCTGAGAGAGAATGTAGTACGTACGTGTGTGATGATGGCATCATCTCACTTGATCTCATTTTGGATTGCATTACATAACCAGGAAACGTATCCAGCGGAATATGAGATGCTCGGTCTCGGCACGATAGCCGGCAACATCGTGAGTCCTCTGCTGAGCGCGCTGCTGGCCACCTGGAGTCCGCTGGAGAACCCCGAGGAGCCTTTGCCGGTGTTCGTCAAGTGGAAGCAGGTCCTCACCGAGGAGGCGTTCAACAGTTTGTTGTGGCAACACTACGTGCCGCACATCAGCAATGCCGTTGAGTTAGTTTTTTTTAATTATTTTTTTATTACTTAGATGGGTTGACGAGCTCACAGTCCACCTGGTGTTAAGTGGTTACTGGAGCCCATAGACATCTACAACGTAAATGCGCCACCCACCTTGAGATATAAGTTCTAAGATCCCAAGTATAGTTATAACGGCTGCCCCACCCTTCAAACCGAAACGCATTACTGCTTCACGGCAGAAATAGGCAGGGCGGTAGTACCTATCCGCGCGGACTCACAAGACGTCCTACCACCAGTAAGCAAGTTTGTGTGTTTGAGTTAAATTTGGTGTAATCTGTGACCTGTGATCGCAGATTACATCTGATATGATGTAACAAAAGTGCGACAGAGATAGCATGCTCAAGTAAGTAACGATCGTTGTCATTATGATAGTCACGAAGCTTTAAAAGCGCTAAAATAAAAAATAAAAACACGATTTTGATAGTTTCTCGTAAAATATTTTTGTCGATAAAATTTTCAGTGTTAATTTTTATAAGGTCAATGATCTTATCAGTTTTCGATTATTTTCATTGCCTTGCCAAAAGTTGTATTTAAACCGTATATAGATATTACGCTGGTTCAGTTGAAGGCAAAACTGTCTCCCTCTGCCTCTAAATGGAGGTCTACATGATACATTGAAATCTTATATCAATTTGTAGGTCATGGAATCCTCGCACGCCGGAGCCAATGGTCCAGGCTCTAACGTCGTGGCGCGCCGTGTGCCCGGCCTGGCTGCTGAGCTCCTGCGCCAGCCGGTACGTGGTGTCCCGCGTGCTGGCTGCCGTCAGGGTGTGGGACCCCACCAGGGACACCCAGCCCGTGCACCAGTGGGTGCTCCCGTGGCACGAACTGGCCGGTAACTATCCTCGACTGGTGGCAGGACAAGGCAGCCACGCGTTCCGGCGAAGGCTCGGAAGTCGCGTTATGATGTTTTTTTTTTAAGGGATTTTGTGACCTGGTATCTAAGACCTTTAGGTCAAGTCTTAGTCGCTAGTAAAAAATAAAATGTTTGCAAAGATGATTAATATTAAAAATACCACATGTTAAACCTTTAAAACACTCTCCTGTAAAATTAGTAAGTTTTGAGATTATACAGTTTTAATGCGAGAAGACGAAATATGAACTCGTCTTTCAATAAAGAATAGAAGAAGAATGATGTGTTTGTCTGCAGGTGAGAGTCTATCGCAGGCGGTCTACCCCCTGATCCGGTCTCGCCTGTCGTCCGCGCTGTCCGCGTGGCACCCCGCGGACGGCTCGGCTCGCGGAGTCCTGCGCCCGTGGAAGGAGGCCTGGGGCGGAGCCCTGGTCGCCCTGTTGCATCGGCACGTGCTACCTAAACTGGAGCACTGTCTCATGCACGCGCCGCTCGATCTTGTCGGCGGAGAGAATAGTACGTGTAAGGTTTTTATTTTGCAATTTTCGAATGTAGAAATGCATAATGGCCGCCAGATGGCGGGTGCTTACCGTCTTACTTGATTTTATTAGCTTGATTCTTATGGGTGCGTTCCACTAAGCGTTCACAACGATCACGCTCACGACCGCAATTTTTCCCGTTTCACTTGTTTTTTTTTTATTGCCTTTGTAGGCAGACGAGCATACGGCCCACCTGATGGTGAGTGGTTACCGTCGCCCATAGACTTCAGCAATGCCAGGGGCAGAGCCAAGCCGCTGCCTACCGCTTAATACTCACCACAAGCCTCGTTTGAAGAAGGACATGTCATAGCGCTCGGGAAACACCGTGGAGGGGAGCTCATTACACAGCCGGATGGTACGCGGCAAAAAAGATCTCTGGAAGCGCACTGTGGATGACCGCAGTGGCTCCAGGTAGTATGGATGAACTCTACTCCGGTGGCGGGCGGTGCGATGGTAAAAACGAGATGCCGGTATCATCTCGAACAATTCCTCAGAGCACTCCCCATGGAACATACGGTACAAAATACAGAGGGAACCGAAGTCCCTCCGCAGACCCAGAGGTTCCAAACGATCCGCGAGCGTTATTGTCGTAAACTCAAGTGGAATGGATTATAGAGCGTTTTGAGCGTAGAGGTAAATAATACAACCGGCGAGTTATATTTTATAGTAGTAGTGTATTTAATTAATTTACGTTCAAATGTAATTAAAATGTTTTTTGCGGCGACACTTAGATATTTGGTAAGAGGTCGCAATAATGCTCCAGATAGTATCTCTTTGCGCATGAAATAACGTAAGCTTAACGGTCGCCATTTTTGATGCTTTGAGTTTTGAAAACGCCGTTAATTTTCTCAACGATCAAATCGACCCACCTTTTTAGATGGGTCGTCGTGAGCGAGGAAATAACTTCATACAGCGTCTTGTCGTTTAGGGCAAAGTAAAGGGTACCAGACCGCGGAGAAGGTTACCGATGCGATGGGCCGACCAAATCAAGTTGGGTCGAGTGTACCAGGCTCACCACAAACCGGGAAAAGTGGCGGTTGCTCGTGAGGCGCATAACATCTGCCCACAGCGACGATTTCATTTCTCCTACCTATGCTGATATTGAGTTTATTTCAGTTTCACCTTAACGTGTAGGTGAGCTCTCGGGCTCAAACCGGGTGTGTTGCTAACACTGGCCTTAGCAAGAACAGTGCTTCGCAGAATCTACTACAGAATCGGAAACGCGACCCACTGAGAAGATCCGGCGAGAAGCTCAGTGGGCAGTGGGCTGTTTCTATGGGTTAATTTACGTGTCGAGCCCTTCGTCGCAAGCGACGGGTTCGACGAGAACGATGACCGGTGCTTGAGGTACCTAAAAGCACCGTTAGTGGATCGGGAGGATCCGTAATGACGTGTGAACTCTCAACGCTGGTGGTACCTACTTATGCGGACTCACAAGAGGTCCTACCACCGGTACCAATGTTCGTATTGTGGCGTTACAGCGGCGTGGCAGTGGTGCGTGGAGTGGCGCGAGGTGGCGGGCGCGGCGGCGCTGGGCGCGCTGGCGGGGCGCACGCTGCTGGCGCGCTGGCTGGCGGCGCTGGCGGCCTGGCTCAACACCAACCCGCCGCACGCGACCGTCATCAACTCTTACACAGAATTCAAGGTAGGTAATTGTTTCTGCAGGCGAAAATAAGACGTCCGGCACATTCATGTTGAGCGATGCACCGGTGCGCCTGTGGGATCCGAACACCGATGCATCGCTAGATACAAATGTACTGTACGTCTTATCCTTTAGGACACGACGACTTCGAGCTTCGCAGGTGTTACCAAAAAATCTCGACAAATTCGTACTCATTTACTGATACTGTTTCATTTCGTTACCATCTCATATTAATAAATATACGATCTATGTAAAAAAAAAATATGTATGTGTATTATTAGAATAATTAAATATATAAAAAAAAAAACTCGACACTGGCAACATTATTGATAGCGTAAGAAGTTGATTGCCATTTTGAAAAAAAATTGTCATAAATCCAGTGACAAACATATTGGTTACTTGGGGAAATGTCAATTTTTTTATTTAAGTATCAACTGTTCATATTAACCGTGCAAATTAAAGGACCAAATTTATTTTTAATACGCTTTTATTAGCTTCAGACGTATATATATTTGTAACGGAATCTTTGAACATGATTTTGACCCCCTTCAAAACGCCGGATTAACACGAAATTTGGCATACTTATTAGGCTAAGTTCATATGATCGCGCGGTACCGCGCGTCACCGCGCGTTGGTAACTTTCACATGACAGAATGTACGCGCGAGAGTCTGGCATCAACATTGATTGAGAATGGACGTGGAGGAAGCAATTTGCTTATTAATTTTATACAGAAAACTGAGACATCGGAGAAAAAGACAAAGGCGATACTGGGTGCATCCTATTTTAATCGAAAGACTTTCTTCAAGCCTTTTTGTAACTTTATATCCCGACCTGAGACTACACGAATAAAATTCTTTTACTAACTAGTTTAAGATGTCAGTTGCATCTTTTCATTTTTATATGATTGCCTTGAAAACTATTTAAAATCGATAGACACGATATCGTCTTCGCTAGGTACTCATTTTTCTTGGATCTATGCGTCTGTCCGTCTCAAACCGCGCGGATCAGCTGAACAGGTAGATACAGTTTTGCAGAACTTGTACCGCGCGCGCCACGCGCGGTACAACAACCTGCGCGCGGGTCGCAGCGCACCGCGCGTTACCGCGCGGCAGCGCGCTGTTATGTGTACAATAAATACTGCTTAAATTGATCTTGTACCGCGAGGTGAGCAGTTCCGCGCGGTACTGCGCGGTCATGTGAACTTAGCCTTAAGGACCAATGACAATTCAATATTTAAAAACAAACTGGAAAAAAAATTTGAAAAAGTTGAAATTCAACTAAAGTATGAAAAAAAATAGTTTAAAAAAACTAATAAAATACGCATTTATAGAAATCCAACTAAAAACTAGAAAATAAATTTTAATAAATTTGAATTAAAAATAGTTTAAAAAGAAATTATTTTATTATTGTTAAAAAAAGCATGGAGTGCATGGTATAAGTAGTTATAAATATTTTATGAACAGATATGATTAGAAGGGTTATTTTGATAATATCCAGAAAAGCACCCCACGCTTTTTTACAATAAAATCATTTTTTTATAATTATTAATTTATATTTTAATTAATTTGAATTAAAAATAGTGTAAGAACACTATTTTTAATTCAAATTAATTAAAATTTATTTTACATTCTCGAGCTTGTATGAATCAAAACGTTTACAGAAAATGTTTCCCGAAGACATACTCAAGGAGCCGGCGGTCCGCGACGCTTTCCGGAAAGCCCTCGACATGATGAACCGAAGCGCCGATATCGACACCATAGATCCGCCTCCTCCGCCAAGGTTCACTGTCATCACGGAGACCAAAGAAACGCCTAGGATTGTCGATGTATTAGCTTCGGCAACGCAACAGAAGAGTTTCTCGGAGTTGTTGGAGACCAGGTGCATTGAAAACGGTATAACTTTTGTACCGATTGCAGGGAAAACGAGGGAAGGTCGCCCCCTATACAAAATAGGTGCGCTACAGTGCTACGTTATAAGGAACGTGATAATGTATTCCGATGATAACGGAAGGAATTTTGCGCCAATCGCCATGGATAAGTTGCTCAAATTGGTCGAGGATTAGTTATTTTTTTTTATCAATATCAAGACTTTTCTGTGTTTAGTGAGAGTTTTTTAACGTTCTCGATAGCGTAAAAGTTAACGCAAATTTGTATGGAGTCGGAACGTTTGCTTACGTTTGCCGCTAGGGGCGCTGTTACAACTCCATACAAATTTGCGTTAACTTTTTAGCCGACTTCAAAAAAGGCGGAGGTTCTCAATTCTTCTGTATTTTCTTTATGTTTGTTACCTCATAACTTTTGACTGGGTGAAGCTGACCCTTCCCGTGTGGTCCCATTTTTATCCAATTTAGTCCAGTTCTGATAATGGTATCCATGAGACAACCATGTAAGTCTTAAATTTGCATTAAGTACGTGCGCGACAAATAGATGAGTAACTCAATAACTCAATATCACGCTAACCGATTTCGATGATTATTGTTTTTAGTGTATATTAATTTGTTTTGGAATATCTTTTTTTTTCTATATGAAGTCGATTTTTGTTAAAGCATGTCTATTTACAATTATATGCTATCGAGACCGTTAAAAAACTCGCACTAAGCACACGGTTTCCTCGGAAGTTCTAATCGAAAGACCTACCTTGCGCGTTTTATGCGAACGGCCCAAGTTATTGTAATTGTCGATCAGTGATTAAATACAAGATTTAATTGCAAGCCGATCAAATACTGTTGTTTTGTTTTTTTTCGTATTGTTATATAGGTTTTGCGAAAAAACAGTTTCGTAAAATAACAAGGAAATGAAAGACAGTTGTAAAAAATAAATTTATATATTTGTGAAGCTATAAAAGTATTTTTTGTTTTTGTTTTTATGTATTTATTGGTACGTATTCGAATTTTTTGGGTATCATGACCAGATTAAGATTTACATTGACTAGTTCCGAAACGGATCTCTACATACATTTAAATCGATTTACTAAATTTTAACTTCGATCGATCGATTTTTTTGTTCACATATAGAAATTATAGAATGGCTCATCCCGTCACCTAAATTAAATAATGATAATTTTGATTCGAAAGTTGCCGTCACATTTCAATTGTCACTTAACATTCTTTTTTTATGATTGCTTAGGTGGGTGGATGAGCTCACGGCCCACCTGGTGTTAACCGGTTACCGGAGCCGATAGACATCTACAACGTAAATGCCCTTGAGATATAAGTTCTAAAGTCTCAGTATCCTCACTTCAGTACAATTTCTAAGTTGACAGTCAGAACATTGCGCGAATCGATACGACTTATCGTTGTAAATTTACTCATCATGGCGCGGCTTTGACCGACCAAACCTCTAACATTAACTTAACCAATCTATTGCAAAAGATTATTATTATTATTTGTTTATTTAAAACCTATACTTATACTGGTGGTAGGACCTCTTGTAAGTCCGCACGGGTAGGTACCACCACCCTGCCTATTTCTGCCGCGTAGCAGTTTCGGTATGAAGGGTGGGGCAGTCGTTGTATACTGAGATCTTCGAACTTATATCTCAAGGTGGGTGGGGTATTTACGTTGTAGATATCGCTTAACACCAGGTGGGCTGTGAGGTCGTCCATCTATCTAAGCAATAAAAGAAAATTAAAAAAAAAACTTGTGACTGGACATTAAAAAATTCTCCAAACTATCGAATCTTTTCCATTCTCTTCTGATAAGTGTAAGCGCGGTAGCACTGTACACCGTTCGCTACACCCAGCGTGAAATTGCAAAACGACAGCGCATAGTTAATAGGTCTGATAACTAGGCAGTAACGCGTCCAAACGAAGCCAGTGGCCGCTAACGTAGCGGATTGTGTGGTAGACACTTTATCTAAAGGGCGTCGGAAGTCGTCGATGGATGCCATCACTAACGCCTGAAATATCATATTAGTATCCGTTAATCACACACATAAAACTGGTGCTCAGTAAAATAAGTTCATAAAAGAATATAATTGAAAAAAAAATGCATTAAAAAAGTCATGTTACCTAATAAAAAAGTTACACCCAAGTATGTGGGTATGTTACGTTGTGGATGTCTACGGGCTCCAGTAACCACTTAACACCAGGTGGGCTGTGAGCTCATCCACCCATCTAAGTAATAAATAAAAAAATTGGAATTATTTTCTTGTTTCATTAATATTATTAAAATGAACTTGTACCTACCGATTAAATTTGTTAATAATATAATAAGTATATTATCTAAATAATCTTATCACACCAATATTGTTTTCTAATGCTCTGGACTATTTCTGTATGGTTGTCAGTCATGATTCTTTTGTGTTATAATAATATATCCTAAACTGGTAAAATGTCAGAGGGCACCCACAAACTAGTTAGTAGTATTCGTTGAGAGCATGCGGATGATTTAATTTGTGGTCGCTAGACCACACCCCTAATTTATTATTGATTTACAAGGCAGCACTCTAGTCTGTAGATTTGAAGGTGGCCTCAGTTAAGAAGTATTCCGTCTTGATGTAGAAAGGGTACACTTAGAAGAAACTTCTTCATCAAATAAATCCGAAAAACCCAACACATGCACACATGCAAAAGTAGAAAATAAATAGAGTTTTTTAAAATAAATAAATATATTTCTCAAATAGAAGGCTTTACAAAAATAGACACATTTTTATATAAAATAACATTTAATTTAAATTATATATAACCGTTTTTACATTTTGAATGTATAAAATAGTAGCGATTAATTATGAAAGTCACTGTGGCAATTTCAATATATATTTTTATTATTTTTTATATCAAATACAATTCAATTTACGTACGTTTGTAAAATTTTCGGGAGCGATTTTAGAATAACCTCATGGTTATTTAACCTAATTTGAATCATATAAGTTATTGCCTTAATGATAATTTCTTGGTAAATTTACGAGATATTGTTGACTATCAGAATGATATTATATTTCTAGGGACACTTTCGAATCAGTGCACTGCAAGTTATCACAGCTTCATAAGGACATAAAAATCGTACCCATAAAGTTTATGAAAAAGTGAAAGGAGCAATAAAATGCATTGTTTTGTTTATCATTTGGGATTCAACAGTTATAAGAATTATACTGTATGTGTAATCTTAATTTAACCTCTTTATTGCATTATACTTAAAGAAGATGGTTTCTTTGACTGAAGTCTATAGTCAATGAAATCTATACCTGATTGTGTATAGTGTTAGCCTAATGGCAATCTGTTTAATACACAATTTAAATTCTTTTGGCCAACAACAGTTTTATTTAATTTAGCTAATATTTAAACAATACTAGGTAATAGCAAATATTTTAGAAATTTTTAGTCACAAATACCGTGGTAATTAAATAATTACGTATACCTACATTACGTACTTACACAATTTTGACTCAACTATTATTTTATTGTAGATAACGTCACCAAAATTCTAATTTATAAAGCTAATATAAATATTCTCTTATTCTAATAAATTCAGCACAACGCTTACATTAAATTTTTTCTAGCATATTTTTTTATAATTTTTGTGCAACTAGATCCAGTATTTCTTATAAACCGCCAAGACACAATTTAAATTTGAAATGCGATGTTTAAATTACTGTTGTTTACAACAAATCAACATTTTATCCATTTCAAATAGAAAATTAGTGTTCCCTTAAACGAATTTTTGAATTAAACATACTTATTGCAACTTTAAGTTAACAGAGTAAATATATTGTTACGGCGGTAAGAGTAACGCCATCTATCGCCGAATAGCCGAACGAATATCGAAGGATCTAGTAACATCTAGAACGCTCAAGAAGTACAACGCCATCTATTGTCATATAGCGGAAACACACATCGAAGTTACTCGACTTGTGAGGAATTTTCTCGACGCTTCTAGGGATTTCGTCTCGACTATAAAAGCGTTGCAGAGGTGGCACGCAGTCAGTTAGTAATATGAACTACTCGAAGCGAAACAGCGAACGGATCACCCGAAGCGAACCGGAAGAAGTGAATTGAGAATTTTAAAGTGCTTATGAAGTGTTTTAGGTGTTCTTAGTGCAAATACAGTGTTAACTTGTAATTCGGTAGAATTTTATTTATCCCCAACCCCAGTGCGTAACAATATATTATTCCTGTTTATATACAATATACATAAATGACAATTTTAACTATTAAATATTTGTGTTTTTCAATAGGTTAATGCTATTGCACCTCTGTGATTCTAAATGCAATATTTAACTTATTATTTTAGTGCTGTTCTGATTCACTGTGCTGTGCTGTGTTGATTCTGATAAATGGATTTTTCTAAAATAAATATGTAAATTGTCTAATAAGATTATATTAAAATGTTATTTCTTCTCTTCTTCGTTTTTAAGGGCTTGTTGATATTTGAAAGCCCTGCCAATTTGGTATAAACTAGTTAGAGCTACAAAAACATTAACGGCAAACAAACTATAGTTTTTCGGTATAATGACAAGAGAGTACCGAGACCAGATAATGCCAGTTGCAGCCAATGATGCGGACTGAGGTATAGAGAGGGTCTCAACAGGCCGATTCAAGTCACCCAAACCTGCTATCACCAAGCCCTGAAAGTGTGAATGAACATTCAAACAAACAGTTAATCTGATTTGTTGTGAACAAAAATGAATAATTAATTACATTAAACACAATTTTTATTGTCTTTGACGGATATGTTGATTAAGTCTAATCAATCAAGATAAGTAGATATTGATTGATTAAACTCCAAAAAAATCTATTTTTGTTCTCAACAGTATCCCAGCAACCAAATGATGATGAAAGAGTAAAATGAACATTACAGAATTTAATTTGTTACTATTGTACAGTAAGGTACCTAGCAATTGATCTGATATCATAAGGGCCCAAGCACCGGTAGCAGNGATATGTTGATTAAGTCTAATCAATCAAGATAAGTAGATATTGATTGATTAAACTCCAAAAAAATCTATTTTTGTTCTCAACAGTATCCCAGCAACCAAATGATGATGAAAGAGTAAAATGAACATTACAGAATTTAATTTGTTACTATTGTACAGTAAGGTACCTAGCAATTGATCTGATATCATAAGGGCCCAAGCACCGGTAGCAGGCCTCTAATCCACTATTAATCAAGAATTGGGTCTCTTAAAGTGCTCATGAAGCTAAATTAGCATTTATTTCCTTCATAGGATAGAGACCATCTATATCTATACTAATATTATAAAGACGAAAGATTTGTTTGTTTGTATTGAATAGGCTCTGAAACTACTGAACCAATTTGAAAAATGCTTTCACTGTTTGGAAGCTAAACTATTCCAGAGTGACAGGCTATAATAATTCATACTAAAACTCCAATAATGTAACCCAAGGTGTCAAAAAATTATCTAAAATATTCTTTACACCACGTGCCCTGCGAAAACTATTGATGATAGAATAAAATAATGTACTATGACTTTGTAGAACACATTATTATTTACAAAAAGTGTCACGACAGCATATGTCTAACTATTATAGTTATGCCGTAATAAGTGTTCGTTTATTTAAAAAAATAAAACAACGTCACTGAAATTTTTGTTAAAGACCCGGAGTCAGGGCGGGCCTCTATCTTTGATAAAAATGTAACTTTCCTCTGTACATATTATTTATAAATATATAATAATAATGAAGGTCTTACGACAATTGTACTATTTTGCATAACGTTCGTTCGCGCTCGTGTAAGTTTAAATATATTGTTATGACCTTGAATTCATATCGCACTTACCCATTTGAAAGCAGGAGCCCAAAAGAATATCGTTTTAGGTCCTAAAAATATGATTTACACATTAAAAGGGAGAAGAAATAATGTTCTAAATCTAACACGCAAAATGATGTGCACATACCAGCTTCGTGTTCCCATAGCGGGCGGAGTTTCGATGGGACAAATTTGTCTGCTGATGTGACCAAAACTCTGTATATACGGGACATTTTAGTGTGTAATTTTGCACTACCTGGGGAATTGGATAAGGAAGGATCGGTGGGATTTGCTAAATAATGTTCAATTACATGACCTTTTCAGATTGGCCGTGCTAAGACCTTGAATTGTTAATTGATAAATTTGATAACTTTTGGAGCACATGATGTGACATTTGTATTTTGTTGACATAGACATATCCGTATTTGTGTTGATAAATGTCAAACTATAGTAATAGTGTTCCATTTTTCCAACTGGAAAGCGAAGGTAACATCATGCAGCCTAATATTTTGTATTAACGTTCTGTTTTATGAAAATTTTGACTTTATAAGGCTTTGTTTCGTTTAACCACATTTGCGCACTTTCCGGAAAAAGTCCAGTATCCAGTACAGTATTAAATTTTAAATGGTCAAAAGATTCTTCAAACTTGTTTGCACGCGAACACGCTGTTGGAGCGATTAATCATAATTAATACGCAGAGTTCAAAATTTTATTTAGAATTTTAGTAGAAAAAATCATTTGGTAGAATCGAAGGTCAATTACTTAGACGAATAAATATGAATTACAAAGTTATACGTCATGCTAAAGATTTGACTTCTTGTTTTAAATATGATGATGAAGTACGTTTTGTATCAGATACTTTGGTCTATGTCACTGTGTACAAATTTTACACGAACTAACATGGCTGCGTGTCTTCTCCTTACCTGTCAGTTAATTGAACTCTAAAAATGTCTAAAATGTGTCATCAACGTTTACGAATTTTTAACCTTTGTTTACTTCGTTAATTTTAATGACGGGCTGATTTATATTTGCGGGAATATTAAATCATCTCTATTGGGTTTTGTGGCAATTTGATTTTATAATGGGTACCAGCACAATGGGTAGTGATTTGCATGGCGATAAACAGGACAAATTAGTGAAGTTGCAAGCACGGAAGAAGGAACTAGAGCAGATGCTTGCTGCCAAAAATGAGGAATTGTATAAATTATGTGTTCAGGAAGTTCAGTTGACTGGGATTATGCCTCCGGAAGCACCGTTGAGCCCCGAAGTACCTCAGCGAGAGAGACTCGGCAGCATGAAAAGCGTCGACCGTTCTACAGACGGCAATGATGTACACGACGGGTCTGATAACTCCTCAAGACGTATGAGACTTACTTCTGCGGAGCGATTCCAAGATGTTGACCGTAAAAATTATGCTCACAGACTCTCTACACCTTCTATATCTGGTATGTCGACCAAAAGTCACCCTAGACACATTAGACGTCCGGAGACAAGTTGTTCTAACTTCTTTCCCTCTCCACCCCAAGAACGAACCACGGATACATTCTCGATGCATCCTTCTCATACGTATCCTTCTTTATCCAACCGACAGGAACCAATCAATGAGAATGTTCACAATGACGGCGCTTTCTATCGCCATCACACAATGACAACAGAATACATGAATAAAATTTATTATAACGGTGCTCCTGAAGCTCATAATGTGTCAAGGTTGCGGGAAACGCATTTTAGTTCAAGTCATCCTGACATAACAACTCATTATACTCATGGAAATGTTATACCTCACCAGGTTCAAAATGGCTCCAAAAACACACCGTTATTATATCAGTATGCTTCTCAGTTAAAGGCTCAAAGCCAACACTTGGGGGGTGTGCACCACCATCCAATGCAGGGACAGTCTAAAAGGCGTCCAGAAACAGTGAGACGCAACACTTTACAGAGAACCCAAACTTATCATCTTACATCACATAGTGACTACAACCAACATTTAGAAAACATGGGAGATAATTACAGACCCCCGCTTCCTATATACCAACATCGTTCACAACCCGATATACAAGAAACTCATGTGCCAATTGGAAGAGTAGTTCCTGTACCCAACACATTACCATTAAGAGAACATAATGCCATTAGAAATCCTTTACATCTTCAGTTACAAGTGTCTACAGATGATTATGGTAGAGATGATAGAAGGATATACCCAGATGCCATGAGTCCTGTTAGCATAAAATCAGGCTACTCAAACTTTGATTCGGTGAGCATGAATAAGTTTTCTCCACTTTCGCAGTCTGATTTAAAAGTGAAAGAAAAACAGTGGTACGAAACATCATTAGATTCCCCCACAAAGCCTGAAGCGCCTTTACTTAAAAAGAGTTCTAGTTTGAAGAGAACATCCAGTATTGGGAATTCTCAAGCATATGAAGTTATGATATCGACTGGTCGTCATTCAGCAATGCAAAGTCCTAATCATGCATCTCAAAGTCCTCCAGTTTTATCTCCAAGTGGGATATCCTTGGAATCACCGAAAAATTTGACTATAATCGAACAGGGNACAAAGCCTGAAGCGCCTTTACTTAAAAAGAGTTCTAGTTTGAAGAGAACATCCAGTATTGGGAATTCTCAAGCATATGAAGTTATGATATCGACTGGTCGTCATTCAGCAATGCAAAGTCCTAATCATGCATCTCAAAGTCCTCCAGTTTTATCTCCAAGTGGGATATCCTTGGAATCACCGAAAAATTTGACTATAATCGAACAGGGAAAAGTCATACCATACAGAGAAGAAACTAAGCCGTTTGAAATGTCAGATTTTTATAAGTATTCGACTAAGTTTAGACAAGGGAATACACAGAAGACAGTGACCCAAAGTGCTAGTGTAAATTTGACTAATAAACCAGTTCAATATGTACCTGAACATTGGCATGGACAAATGAACTGAAAAATTTATACTTTTTTTTTATATATTAATTTCCTTGCTATCAAATGAGATTTAGTGTCCACTAGACTAATATGTTATTTTAATTATTTATTAAAGTTTGAATTGGTAAAATTTTGATAAACTCTAATTTAATTTCTTTAACAAGTGAATTAAATAAATAGCTCATAGTTTGTACTTAACATATTTATACATTTTGATCTCTAATTTTAAATAATTCTTTGTGCCAAGACGATTGCAGAGAAATTATGCATGTATAGACATTCTAAGTAGTACAAGTTTAGGGATTGTGTACTAAAAACTTTTGTCATAAAACTATTTTAAAAAGTTGAATATACATTTTGTTTGTACATATTTTAATGCTATATTGCATTTATACATCAAGAATTCAACAGTGTAACATTGTTTACTCACGTAATGTATTATTTGCATAAATGTTGATTTTTTGGTCACATGTAAAAATCAAGAAAATAAAAAAGATGACATAAAACACTTAATCGCATGTCATATGTTATATTAAAATTTAATTATAACATTTCTATTGATAAAATGCCTTTATGATGTCTTAGACTAAACATGATTTTAATTGATCTGTGATAATATCATCCTGAAACAGTTTGTTGGTACCCAACACTTTAAATTGGTAAATTATAAATGGGATACCTTAAATAATTGTGCAAACAAATTATTTATAAGTATTTTAGATTATAGATATTTGATTATAAACAATATTTTGGTATGTATGTAGACTTTTATCTAAATTTCGATTCGATATTATTTTTGTAAAGTTATTCATTTGGTTTTGTATTTTTCTTTATTGCCCATTAATTATTGTATTAGAGTAGGTTCAAATATGCTTTGCCCACCGTTTTTATTATGCCACAACAGTGAATTTATTCACCCGACTTGGCATTTGTGATAAAAAATATTGCCTTCTCGATCCCATCCCGATGTAACATTACATTTCGTTTAGCGTTAACAAGTTTTACTATAGCTTTGAAAGTTGCACTGTGATAATATTCATTTTAATCTGACTGAATTTGGAATTTTAAAGTTGTCTTATTAAATTTTTTCTCTACACTTATTACTATTTTTTTGTTGTATATAACTTAATAATACAATAATAATATATTGTAGATGTCTTAATGTTTACAGAAGATAAATGCACATCATTATTTTAATGAAATCAAGAAAAAAAGCTATTCTGTATTCTATAGGTATCTTATCTGAAAAAGACTTATTTTCTTTTGTGCACAATAATTTGAATTCTTAGAAAGTATATATGGTTTTATATTGTATAAGTTAGTTTATGTAGGGTGCGAGTGGACCGTTTCCAAAGCAATAACAAAATATGTTACTCGATATTAAAACAATATTCATTTATTAGATATAAATATTTGTCCTTTTAGTAAGTACATGTTTTGTGAATTTGCAATCTCAGGCGAACGCAGCTGGTTGAAGAACCGCCAAACTTGCCAATCAGCTGACTGAAAAATGCGCCATTTGCAAAAAATATTACGTACCTACTAGAAGCTAGCTATCAACATAATTGTAAATAGAAATGCTTTAACAAATACCGACGTCAAATAGAAAAATAAGATATTCCAAAACAAATCATCGAAATCGGTTGGCGTGATATTGAGTTATTGAGTTATTCATCTATTTGTCACGCACGTGCTTAATGCAAATATAAGACTTACATGGTTTTCTCATGGATACCACTATCAAAACTGGACTAAATTGGATAAAAATGGGACCACATGGGAAGGGTCAGCTTTCTAATAAAAAAAGAATCATCAAAATCGATTCACCCAGTCAAAAGTTATGAGGTAACAAACATAAAGAAAATACAGACGAATTGAGAACCTCCTCCTTTTTTGAAGTCTGTTAAAAAATAATAAGGTTTCTATCGAACGATTGATGGCGTTATCGTGTAAGGAACCAGGCAATACTAAGTTTTGTAAATGTTTCCATTGCACCCTGCATTAAGCTTTATTTTAATTAATTTGCCTTAAGGTCACATTAATATAGTGATTCATATTATATTATAATGATTTATTGAATGCGTTGTCCGGTATAAATTGTAATGAAACCGCAAAGACTTATGAACTTGCCAAGCAATGCAATTGTAATTGAAATTACATTAGCCAATCGCCTTATGTACGTCCAATTAAATGAGAACTTTGTATAGAATAGTTTTAGTACAACAAATATTGTTCAAAAAACAATGTGCATATCTTTGAGCGTATTTTTAGATTCTAATGTTAGTATTTAAAAGTGATTATTTTTTATGATGTTTACGTACAATTAGCCAATGGCATTTTTATGCGAGTCTAATAAAGTTTTACTGCTTCCTTTTTGTTTTACAGATATCCGTATACTACTATCATAGATTTTTTAGTGATTATAACGCCAATTGTTATAAACTCAGTGTTTGTGATTTCATTTTTAAGATTCGAAGCCGAAAAACCGGACACCTGGGGGCCAAATAATTTCAAAATGATAAACAGTTAGGAGATCCTCACCCGAAAGTGGCATTGGATTGGTCACACATTAAGAAAGTCCAATACCCACCTATCCAAGAGAGCACTGACCCGGAAAGTGTCTGGCAAAAGGAAGAGAGGCTGTCCTAGACCAACTTGGTGTCGGTCAGTAGAGCAGGAGGAACTTTGCGTCTTGGGCATGACGTGGAAGGAGGTATAACACTGCCCAGACCGATGCAAATGGAAGAATTTAATTCGAGCCCTACACCCTAGCCGAAGAAGAAGTAGAGACGCGATCTACCGAGTGCCTAATTTTTTTTTTCTACCTATTCTGATAGCTTTGAGAGGCTATTTCAGCTTCACCCTAACTTTTGTAGGTGAGCTCACGGGGCTCAAACCGGAGAGTTGCTAACACTGACCCTAGCAAGAGCAGTGCTTCGCAGAACTACTACCGGACCGGAAATGCGACCCACTGAGAAGATCCGGCGAGAAACTCAGTGGGCTGTATCCATGGGTTAATTCGCTCGTCGAGCCCTTCGTCGCAGGCGACGGGTTCGACGAGGACGGTGACCGGTGCTTGTGGTGCCTAGAAGCACCGTTAATGGATCAGAAGGATCCGTAATGACGTGCTTTGGCGAGTTGAGCTCCAGGTCATCGTGGAGATCCACGTTCCTTAGGAACAATGGCGCTCCGACGGCTATCCTGCAGCTCATAATTTGCTGTGACATAGTTATAATATTGCCCCCCCCCCCCCCCCTATCTATTCAGTATTTGCTGGCAGCCTAAGGGGGCTATTTCAGCTACGCCCGGACGGGTGATATTGTATCTGTACCTCGCATCTCAATTAATTTGAGTAAATATGTCAATATAGATAACAGTATTTAGATTCTGATAGATTATCTAATCATTAAAAAATAATGAACGTAAATATTTTAAATGTTTATTACACATTAAAATTGCCAAAGTCATATAATTGCGAAAACTATAACGGATCTTAAAAATTAAATTGAATCACAAAAAACACAGTGTAGATAAAAAATTAAATGGACGGATGTTTTCTTTAAATCGACAAAGTTTTTATAATTTAGGTTTCGTTTTATGCAGTTTCTTGAACAATTCAATCACGGAACGTTTGCCTGGATTGAAGCCGTTGTTCAAATAATAGTCATCGTTACCTGAAAAAAATATTTGTTGGAGAAATTATTACAATGTTCCTTATATCGTCGCTGTCAAACCAAAATCTGCTACGTGCAAAAACTCTATTTTGAATTAACGAGTAAAAACATTTTCGTATAAAATTTTATATGAAGGTGAATTTTTAAGAACTATATCAAATTAAAGCTATAGATAAATATTAAAGCTATAGACACAACAGTTTTTTTATACGTAGAAAATAAGGCTACGAAAAAGTCAAAAAGTAAAAAACTCAAAAAGTGCACATAGCAGATTTTGGTTTGACAACGACGTTATTTTTCTTATTTTCGATTTTGCTCATTAGACGTTTTTTGCTTAACGAGAAAATAAATCAAATGAAGTGACAGAAAGCATTTTATCGCCATCATATATTAAGTGTATAATCTATGGTCGCCATAATTAAAAACACAAATGATAAAAAAGTAATTAAATCTAAACCAATATCTCGAAGTGCATGCTGCCGTGACATAGAAACCAAGGTTGTAGAGATTACACATTAGCTAATAAACAAATAAAATGATACATAAATTATATTTAAATTGGTACAAGACACGCTCAGCTCTGCAAATAACGATAAATACAATAAAACTACATAGTTGTTATTATCTTATTGGTGATAGGGTGTTTTGGAGCACACACAGGTACTAGCACCCAGTAATACGTTGCAACTTGAAGGGTGGGTCAGGCGTATATAGAACTGGGATTTAGAACTAATATCTCAAAGTGTGTGTCGGTTATTCTTGATGCCTATGAGCTCCGATATCAGTTAATACTTCGGTGGGCTCATTCACCCGTATAAGCAATAAAAAAGGATAACACAATACACCCACTTTTGATCTTGTTGAAAACTGTTTTATCGCTATCGATAGACAGACTAGCACACAGTCCGCTTGGTATTGAGTAGTTTGTTGTTCTACTCGACGGGCCGGAAGGCGAGCTCATTGGGCCAGCCTGACAGACTGTTAACATCTGCCATACCGATTAAGAGCAGTGCTTTATTGAATCTACCACTGGATCAGAATCGCGACGGACAGAAGATCCGACGAGAAAATCATTCGGTTGTGGCTCACACATCGAAGCCTTTGAATAGAACGAGCGTGTTTTTTATTTTTATTTTTTATTGCTTAGATGGGTGGACGAGATCACGGCCTACCTGATGTTAAGGGGTTACCGGAGCCCATAGACATCCACTACGTAAATGCCGCCACCCACCTTGAGATATGAGTTCTAAGATCTCAGTATAGTTATAACGGCTGCCACACCCTTTAAACCGCTTAAACTGCTTCACGGTAGAAATAGGCAGAGTGGTGGTGCGGACTCACAAGAGGTCCTACCACCAGTTCAAGACGTTGCACTACTCAATCATAATCATAAAAGCTATCAGGAGGATCCGAAATGACGCGTTTAGGGTGACTGTGTATTGCCCCGTCGCCTGGGTCTAGTATGTAATTAGAGGCGGCCACGATAGGAGGGTTTTTAGTAGTTATTCTAGCCTAAACTTCTCTATGTGAATGTCGCAATCTACCCAGAGACACGTGTTCTAAGTCTAAATTGTATTTTATAACGGTTGTCCCATCTTTTAACCCATAACGCATGATTTATTCGCGGCAATAGACTAAGTAATAAAAAAAAACAAGTAAAATATTTCCTAAAGTGTCAGAAATAATTAGAAACCATAAGTACGATCGAAAAGTAGACTTGCGCTTTGAACACGAATAAATAAAAATATTTGTAAAAATTAAATTTATGTATTTTCGAAGTGTTTCATTTTTCATACTTAACCGTAATCAAGATATTTTGATAATGTAATAAGTAGTACATAATATTGTTATCTTTAATTGTAGATACGTATCTTAATGTATACCTATGTAAACAATTACGTTACAATTTTATAATGATAAAGATAATGTTTAGATAATGTTTATTGTATTATGACAGCAACAACAAATCATTCAAATGAACATACCGGCTCCATTAATTTGATCATTGATGCAGCCTTCGTCCCACATGTTGACACAACGCTTGCCTGGATTGAATCCACCGCCGAGGTAATAGTCATCGTTGCCTGCAGTTTTATTACGATTCTCGTTATCACACTTTTTTTTATTATCAAGAAACAATTACTGGTACTTTCCAGTTTCACCAGGACAAGTGCTTCGCGAATAAATCTACTTCTTATCAGCCCACAGACGTCCACTGCTGGACATAGGCCTCCCCCAAGCCTCGCCACAAAGACCGGTCCTGCGCTGCCTGCATCCAGCGAATCCTCGCGAACCTCAATAGATCGTCGGTCCATCTTGTGGGAGGCCTACCCACGCTACGTCTTCCGGTACGCGGTCGCCACTCAAGAACTTTCTGGCCCCAACGGCCATCCGTTCTACGAGCAATGTGTCCTGCACACTGCCACTTCAACGTCGCAATCCTTTGGACTATGTCGGTTACCATGGTTACCGACATAGCCCAAAATAAATCTACTACCGGATCGGAATCCCGACCCGCTGAGAAGTTCCGGCGAAAAACTCAGCGGGCTGATGTTTAGGTTGGGTAGCAGTTTTAACAAGTCTACGGGTCGGTTTAGAAAACTAACAACTGCCTCCTATTTTGGACTGAGATAAATCTGTGTACCTGCTCCGGGTAGTTGTCCATTGGCACAGCCGTCATCCCACATATTAAGGCACCGCTTGCCGGGATTAAAGTTACCATTCAAATAATAGTCATCCCAACCTGGAATAAATATTTAGGTACTTTATTAATATGTTATAATGTTATTGTTACCTGTATCGAGAACCTCAAGCCTTAAGTTGGAATAATTTTCATCACCATGAACTCCGGTGAGCTCTATGTCCTTTAAATTAAAAGCTATCTTTTAATATATCTTAAAATTTGCTTCATATATAATAAATAATAGTTTAAAAAAACTAAAAGAATACGTTTTAATAGAAAATCCAACTAAAAAATAGTAAATAGATTTAAAAAAAATTGAATTAAAAATACTGTCAGAAAAATGATTTTATTGTAAAAAAAGCTTGCGGTGCTTTTCAGGATATTATTAAAATAACCCTTCTACTCATATCTGTTCATAAAATATTTATAACTACTGATATCATTCACCCCACGCTTTTTCTATAAAAGCGTATTTTTTTTGTTTTTTTAAACTATTATTTATTTTTCATTTTTTAGTTGAATTTTAATTTTTTAATTTTTTTTTAAATATTGAATTGTCATCGGTCCTTAATAAGTATACCAAATTTCGAGTTAATTCGATGTTTTGAAGGGGGTCAAAATCATGTTCAATGATTCCGTTACATACTAACATACAATACGTCTGAAGCTAATAAAAGCGTATTAAAATGGATATTTGTGAAATTAATATCCCGATAATCTCTTGACCTTCTCTTGTTTGTTTCGTTTTTAATTCTTATCATCGAAACCTTTGCTCTGTTACATAAAATGTACCAAGTTTGGCTGTGAGAAAAATATATCGAAACTAGTCGATCGTTGTCTTCCTAGCCAATTGCACGGAAAAATAAACATGAAAGTTGTCGTAACTGGTGCTAGAGGCTTCTTAGGGTCCCGCGTAGTAGATTACCTCCTAAGTGAAGAGTCCCCCATTAAGGTTACAGAGTTGGTCATCACCGGCTCTCAGTTACCATCTCCAAGAGATGACCCGCGTGTTAAGCTTTTAGCTGTTGATTTAACATCACCAGATGCTGCAGATCGACTCGTACAGCACGACACCGATGTGTTCTTCCATATGGCGGCCGTGGTCAGCGGTCATGCCGAAGCCGAATTCGACTATGGACTTAAGGTGAACTTTGAAGCAACGAAAGCCCTTCTAGAAGCAGCAAGACATCGAGTACCAAGCCTCCGTTTTGTCTTCACCAGCGCTGTTGCTGTTTTCGGCGGAGATCTACCTCCAGTCGTTGACGACATAACTGCCGTCATGCCCCAAAACACATATGGAACAGCCAAAGCGATGAGCGAGCTTCTGGTCAATGATTATTCCAGACGGGGTTTCGTGGATGGTCGGATACTCAGAGTGCCGACGATAAGCGTGAGACCTGGTGCACCGAACAGAGCTATGACATCATTTGCTAGTGGCATCATCAGGGAGCCTCTAAATGGAGTCCCGGCCGTGTGCCCTGTGCCTCCCGAGCAAGAGTTGTGGTTATCCAGTCCTCGAGTGGTAGTGAAGAATATTGTGCACGCGGCAACATTGCCCAAAGCATCGTTGGGTCTTTGGAGATGCGTTACTTTGCCAGGAATTTGTGTATCCGTGAAGGAGATGGTGGATGCTTTGTACACTGTGGCAGGAAAGAAAGTGGCCGATCTGGTTAGGTTTGAAAAGGATGACGTAATAAGCCAAGTGGTAGCTTCGTTCCCCAGCAGATTTGATACAACTCGTGCACTCAATCTTGGATTCGATATTGACACAAAATTCGTTGATTTTGTTAGAGATTACGTTCGAGATAATTTGAAAACGAGATAAAAATTTAATAAAATCAAGTGGTTTTTTGTCTTGGCGTATTTTTGATTAAATGCTTTCTATTCCAGTAATACTTATTCCGATTTTAAGGGGCAGTTTATACGCGAGCATGTAGGTAATAAAAGCTTCAATAAAACTTCGTCTGTATCCACTGCCAGCGTTAACCTTAGCGTTAAACCTTAGTGTTGTTAACCTTAGCGTCGGAGCTGTAATTTATATTCAACCTAAATTATTTATGGAACCTCTGTTGTTTTCTAATTTGAAGGATGCTACTACGGTTTTAAGAAACAATTATATTGGACGCTTCGACCTCATGTTTCAAGTTGGGTGGCATTATTCTTTTTTTTGTAAATGCGTAATAACCAAATAAACTCATTTAGGCCGTGACTTCGTCTGCTCAACTGGACCACAAAAGAATGGTGCGCGTGCAACTTGGTGCACGTGAAAGAAGTCAAACTTCTTTTGCGGTGTGTAGTATTGTGGTTTTCTTCATTTTTCATCTTTAAATCTCATTTCTCTTGTAATAGGGAATCTCTCTGTGTATAAGAGAAATGGCCTAGCTCACTTTTTCCTTTCCCCCTCTCCACGGTCGAGTGATTCGCGAGACGCTGTCTATTTTCTCAGTCTCGCTCTTCCTTAATTGTATCTTTTCTCTCTTACCGTAACGAATCTGTTGTGCGTTAAATATTACTCTCAACGCGCCTAAAGAAGTGTCACTTCAAAAATATATATAAATTTTCATATGATATGTAAATTTTATAGATGAATCGTGCTGAATCGATATTTTCAAGAAAATCCTTTAAGTATTCAAGTACACATTCGAACCGTCGGTCTACAAAACAATATTACCTACTCAATGTCTTTAACTATATTAATATTTCGTGCCATTTTCACAGTGATAATAATATGTATTTTTATAATTTGTATTTACTGATTGTAGGACCTCTTGTGAGTCCGCAAGGGTAGGTACTAGCACCCTAATTGATTCTGCCGTGAAGCAGTAATGCGTTTCGGTTTGAAGGGTGGGAAAACTGTTGCAACCGAGACCTTAGAACGTATATCTCAAGGTGGGTGGCGCATTTACGTTGTAGATGTCTATGGGCTCCAGTTACCACTTAACACCAGTTGGGCTGTGAGCTCGTTCACCCATATAAGCAATAAAAAAAAGTATTAATCGAATTTGCATACCCGATCCCGGAAGCTGTCCATTGATACAGCCCTCATCCCACATGTTGACACAGCGGCGATCTCCTGATTAAAGAATTACAATTTGAATTTTTGTGTATTTAAGAATTAATTGGGATTGTCCCGTCACCTTATTTATTTCTGCTCGCAATTTATCATCGGAGCAGAGTACATCCCTACTACCTAGAACCGATGNTAATCGAATTTGCATACCCGATCCCGGAAGCTGTCCATTGATACAGCCCTCATCCCACATGTTGACACAGCGGCGATCTCCTGATTAAAGAATTACAATTTGAATTTTTGTGTATTTAAGAATTAATTGGGATTGTCCCGTCACCTTATTTATTTCTGCTCGCAATTTATCATCGGAGCAGAGTACATCCCTACTACCTAGAACCGATGCGTTTACAAACTTTGGCAGGAAAGCGAGGAGTGAAGTTGTGTGATTTGTTTTATTTTGTCTATTTAGTGTTTCTACAGGTTTAACTGTGTAATAACGGTGGTTTATTAACTGTTTAATATCTGTGAAACTGCACAAACGTGGTAAAATGAAACAAAGCCGCTGGACGTAGCTTCTCAGGATCCTCCAAAAAGCCCATTGAAAAAGTCTCAGTAGTAAATAACCACCATTTTACTGATACTATATTTCATGCCATATCATCTCATCTCATTTCATTTATTTTCATTCCAGTTGATTAATGTCTCAAATTGATCATCTTCATTTCATTTCACTCCATATTATAATTTTTCATAAAAATAAGAATATAAATTAAAATAAGGCATGACCTAAAGGTCTTAGTAACCAGGTCATAAAATCTCTTAAAAAAAAAGCTGCGTTTACAGTTCATTTCAGTCAAGGCTCTCTTCTAGACGGTGTTCGAGCATTAAGACAGGCTCTCCTTAAAACGAGAGTCATTAAAGATACATTTACGGTAGGCAGCGGCTTGGCTCTGCCCCTGGCATTGCTGAAGTCCATGGGCGACGGTAACCACTCACCATCAGGTGGGCCGTGCGCTCGTCTGCCTACAAGGGCAATAAAAAAAAACATCGACTTTGCTGTAGCCCGGGAATTGGTAATGTCTTTCATCAAAGCCACTTAATAAATAAATACAGTCAAAACCGTTTACTGCGACATCGTTTAGAACAACATGCCGGTTATAATAACCAAGAACAAAGGTCCCGGCTGAATACTATATGACCGCCTTATTAAAAACATTGCTTTATACGACATTGCTAATAACGACATACCTCATAAAACGACCACATTTAACTAATATTTCGGAGAATTAGATCTGTTAGAACGACCGGCTAAGCTGTATTGTAAACAATTTGAGTAGGTATCCACATTTGTCTTCAATGGCTATTAAAATCAGGAAAGAAAACAATAGGATTTAGTTTAGTGTAGGGTATTTTCTAATTCTTAGAAACAAAACACGTGCATGCAGTAGAGGCAAAGCCCGTTTCTGCATATCTCTTCAGTTAGTTTGTTACTCATCTATACACAAGACGCACCAAAACTTTGTAGAGTTATTCGTGAAACTTTCAAAATGTGGCAAAGAAAAAGAAAACAAATTAATATTGAAGAAAAATCGCGTATTATGTAAATATATTTTTCCAATAATTCCCTATCGATTTGTTTGTACTTGCACGATACACATTAAGCATCACCGGTTGTTACGACTATCGGTTTTTACGACTGAATATGAGCAGTCCCTTCGATGTTGTTATAACAGATTTTGACTGTAGTCTCATCATAGCCACGTAATAAATAGATAGTAAGGAAAACATGGCTACAGTCGTTGAGGATAAACTTAGTACGATACTACAGACAGGCGTTTGTAAAATGACCTAAGCAACTAATTTAAATATGAAGCGTCATTGTTGTTTCAGGAAAATGATGATAGGGAATGTACAGAGAAGAAAAAGGATTAATTTAATTCAATTTTTAAATTACATTAAATTAATCCTTTTTCTTAGGAGGATTAAAGGATTAGCTTTGTGGAGAGTATTAAGCGGTAGGCAGCGGCGTGGCTTTGCCCCTGGCCTTGCTGAGGTCCATGGGCGACGGTAACCACTCACCATCAGGTGGGTCGTATGCTCGTCTGCCTACAAGGGTAATAAAAAAAAGTTCAATTAGTGGGTTTAGGCAAAACTAAAATTTGAGATATCACACAAATTTTTGTGCGATGTTTGCCGATATTTACCGCTAGGGGCGCTGTGCCAACTACATACAATTTTTAGTTAACTTTTACGCTATGGAGAACGTTCTCCAAAACTAGGACTAAGCACACTGTTCTATTTCACTAGACTAGGTAAGGTGGGCTCAGCATGCCCTAAACATACAATCTGGTAGCTAATATGCTAAACATGGCTAGTGGCTGGGTGTATTTTGGGCCTCCGCAGTCAGATACCACTGTCTTACTTATTTCGCCCCAGGAATGTATTTCGGTTAATAGAAATGGGACAAGTGCTATTTTTATTTATTGCTTACATGGGTGGACTAGCTCACAGACCACCTGGTATTAAGTGGTTGCTGGAGCCCATAGACATCTATAACGTAAATGCGCCACCCACCTTGAGATATAAGTTTTAAGCTCTCAAGTATAGTTACAACGGCTGCCCCACCCTTCAAACCGAAACGCATTACTGCTTCACGGCAGAAATAGGCAGGGTGGTGGTACCTACCCGCGCGGACTCACAAGAGGTCCTACCACCAGTAATTACGAAAATATATAATTTTGTGGGGTTGGTTTTTATTACACGATGTTATTCCTTCACCGTGGAAGTCAATCCTGAACATTTTTTGAGTACGTATTTCATTAGAAAAATTGGTACCCGCCTGAGATTCGAACGCCGGTGCATCGCTCAACACGAATGCACCGGACGTCTTATCCTTGCTATACGATGGTATATAAACTTCGATGTTATGTGACCTTAAACTGAAAATCTTAGGCCAACTTTTTATTTTAGATTGCTTTCATAATCAAACGAGTAGAGGCCCACCTGGCAAATGGTTGCCGCAGCTTTTGGGCACTGTCAATACCAAGTGCAGAGCCAAGCCGCTACGTACTAAAGTCGATCAAAATTTTATACTCACCATAAGCAGCGGGGTGATGCACAAAGCTTTTTGAATAAACCGAAGAGACGAGACAGAAAATGACAATGAAATATTTCATTTCGTTTTATGCACGATTGATTTAGTTCAATTGCGAATGTTGACTCAATGAATGGATCTTAATCGAATCCTTCCTACTATTTATATAGGTGGGGAGCCGGCATGATTTAATTAAGCCCCCTCAGAAAACGTATCTCGTTTCCACTTTAGATAAAACATAATTAAGGATTAGGATATTTCATTCAAATGGGCATTTCGGTTATGAAGTTTTGCAAGCGCTTATAATTTTTATTATGAGATTGATAATTGGGATTATATTATTATGAAGTGTCTACTTTTTATTGACCGATAAACTTGACGAATTAATTTATTTTGCGTCCTATTCGCATAGACAATTAGTTAGCTGTATGATTTCATGCTTGTAACATTCGTATATCTGATCAGCAACAGTTTCTGTTGGAATATTTATTTATACGTTAATAACACATCCATGTTCTATTAGCTCATTTTCGTCGGCTCTGAATAGACCATAGTGATTCTCAGAGCGCTATGACATGTCCATATTTTATTTATGTTTGAAAGGAGTCCTTTTGCTAGGGTTCTCCAGTGCTGTTTCTGATGTTTACGGGCGGCGGTGTTCCATTCATGTCCCTTTAATCGCTCGATAACTCTGCGGACAGCGCGTTGAGTTCCGATTTTTTTCCCTATGTAATCGATTACATAGGGCAAGCGAAAGCGAAAGTATTCCATCGGATTGGAATCGCGATCCATTGAGAAGATCCGGCGAGAAACTCAGTGGGCTGTGTCTTTGGGCTTTGCTCAATCGTCGAACTCGGCTAGGTAATTAGCGACGGCGACAATAAGACGATTATCTTGTCGCGCCGCTGTGTCGAAGTAGCTTTTTTACACTACCTTAACCTTAAGATACTTGCGTATCGGTTGTACATTTAGATATTTGTGAAGGTCAAATTTCCTCACGTACCACGGTGCTCCGACAATTATCCTGTAGAATTTAGAAACGAGATTGGATGACCTGGAATGAGTTTATGCGGATGCGGGCCGCATGAGTGAATACTACACTTGAATATTATGTCATGATGGAACGTATGCAACTTTTGTAGCTTCCGTTTCATCACGCACGTCCTTGCCAATTTTCAAATTCAGTGAAAGCATTTAACATTTTTCTTTACTTTATTCCATTTATTTCTGCTGAAGCCCGATGACGCTAGCTGTCATTATAAATTCGCTGTGATTTAAAAAAAAACCTGTAATTACTTACGCGCCATCTATCGTATGGTGATGGCATCAGAATATTTCACTAGAGCGCGTCACTGTTTCGCGACAGAAACAAGAGAAACGGTCGTACTTATTGACTCGAGTTATACGACCTACCACCGGTAATTACGCTAATTTAACTTTGATTTTTATTGAATTCNTAGCTGTCATTATAAATTCGCTGTGATTTAAAAAAAAACCTGTAATTACTTACGCGCCATCTATCGTATGGTGATGGCATCAGAATATTTCACTAGAGCGCGTCACTGTTTCGCGACAGAAACAAGAGAAACGGTCGTACTTATTGACTCGAGTTATACGACCTACCACCGGTAATTACGCTAATTTAACTTTGATTTTCAGAGGACGTCTGAACCTTATCTACTTCACTATGAGTCTTGTGGTAGGTCACTGTTGTTAGGACCTCTTGAGTCCGCACGGGTAGATACCACCGCTCTGCCTATTTCTGCCGTGAAGCAGTAATGCGTTTCGGTTTGAAGGGTAGGGCAGCTGTTGTAACTATACTGAGACTTTAAAACTTATATCTCAAGGTGGGTGGCGCATTTACGTTATAGATGTCTATGGGCTCCAGTAACCACTTAACACCAGGTGAGTTCGTCCACCCGTGTAAGCAATAAATAAAAAATAGTTCTTATTTTTTTTGAATAGGAACCTATTAGATTATAGCTTAGAATTAGAGCAAGGAAGGGTGGATGGTGCAGGGCAGCACGGAAGATCTTCAATGTGATAAACCTATAATTTGGAGTCTACAATAGAAGGCCCTTAAATGAGTATTCACCATAAAAGATAACGTTCAGCAGAGAGAGATGGTGGTATGCCGTGAGGCACATCAAATTTACCCCATCCAATATCACACAACAATCACAACAACTCTATCTTCTTTTTTTTGTTTTTCACTACATATGCTAATAGCCTTGAGAGGCTATTTCAGTGTAACCTTAACTAGTAGGTGAGCTCACGAGGCTCAAACCTGACGACGTTGCTAACACGAACCCTAGCAAGAGCCGTGTTTCACAGAACCTACCGCTGGATCGGAAACGCGACCCACTGAGAAGATCCGGCGAAAAAAAAAAGAAAAATTCACTCTATCAAGAGTGCAACCTCTAAGAAAAAGAGTTCACCATTGACATGTAAAGGATGCGAAAGTACTCTATGAAACGCTCCACATATTTATGTTAGTAATAAAAGAAATCAGTGGAAAAACAAAACTAAACGTTTATTACCATTCCCGGTCGCGTACGAAATCATATTTCAAAGGAAATTGACAGGTTCACACGTACGCCGTAACATCGGGACCAATAACTGACAATTTGTCATTCTTTGACAATCCTATTTGCGCGCGATTCGGAATGTTGTTTCTGTCTATTGTTAAATTATTTTGCGAAGTAGAAGTGGTAGCAATGGATTCTTGTATCGACAATAACTTTTTTAATACGCTATTATTATCTTGGCACGTGTGTTTGTTTGTATGTAACAGAATCTTTGTATGTCTTTCATTGACTTGAAATTTTGTTTATAACACTACCAACCATATTTTTATTATTAACTAAATTGCCCGGTGAATTTCGTATCACAAATTCGTCATAAAATGTGGTCAAAACTTAGTAATTTTTTTTTAATCTACATTATTAAATGCAGTTTACTGATATTTTAGATTTTATAGATAAAGTTTATCGACTCGCTAACAGAGAAATAAGGAAACTCCAAGTTGATTCCGCAAACTTCCAACGACTAGTCTTGCTATTTATTTAGGCCAGTGGCACGGAAAAATGTAAACGCTTAAAATCAACTAATATTTCTCTTTTTCTTTTATTTTATTTTATTTTTTTCTTAAAATTTTCAATGCTATTAAACGGGAAATTAAATGGGACGGAGACAAATACAAAGAAATAAAAAAAACGATGAAAATCGGTCCAGCCGTTCTCGAGTTACAAGCGTTCGAACAAACCCGATTTTGTTTTATATGAGTCGATTATTATCAAAGCCGGCAATCTGACTTTTGGACAATGATTGGTAAATCAGAAAAACGAATTATTGACTTTGTATTCCATTGGCAGTCACAAAACTCTTCGGAACGACATCTTAGATAAATAACAGGTTAACTATTAACCTTTATTTAATGCAGGTTTTGAACCGTATTCTTTGAAGGAGACGATTATATTCAAATCAATCTGAATTGACATATCAATAAAAATTTTTTGTCCAAATGCACAGATTGCCACCTTTGATAATAGACGACTCATATATAGATTATTAATTTTATATTTTCGCATTAATATTCTGACCAGTATCAACAAGGTTAAAAATAAACATGAAATTAGTTGTTGCTTTGGTTTGTTAATTAAGTGCGTTTTTATATATAACTTTCTAAGCTACTTAATACAAGCTCACATCGGTTTATATTAACGCATTATGTATCGCGTATTTTGAATATTATAATAATAAATAAATATAAATATTTACTAACAATCACGCCACGTTAACTAGTCCCGTGATAAGTTCGTAAAGAACTTGTGTTACAGGTACCAGATAACGGAAATAAATGTAAGATTTTTATTATACACACATATATATATTTAATATACATCCATAACCCTGGAAAAGACATTTATATTTATCATACAAATATCTTCCCTTGGCGGGATTCGAACCCGCGACCCCCTAGTGTAGTGACCATGTCACTTACCACTACACCAGACGGACGTTATGGACGTTATTTTGTATGCGTTTTCAGAAGGACGTACGTATTTTGATACTCGAATACTGCTCGCGATAAATTTCCATAGTCGATACGTTATTGGACCACGTTATTTTGTTCATGCTTGACCAATAATAGCCTCCCACCTGGATGGAATAATACGAAGGATTTTCAAGACAAATGCAATTAGCCCTACCGATGCTGATAGCCTTGAGAGGCTGTATCAGCGTTACCCTAGCGTGTAGGTGAGCTCTCGGGGCTCAAACCTGGAGGTGTTGCTAACACTGACACTAGTAGGAGCGAAATCTCAGAATTCGCAGAATCTACCACCGGATCAGAAACTTGACCCGCTGAGAAGATCCGGCGAGAAACTCAGTGGGCTGTGTCTATGGGTTAGTTTACTCGTCGAAACCGGCCAGTGACCGGTGATACGACTCAGCTTCGTTCGCCAAGTTTTATATCTGTCAAAATCAACAGCCATCTATTGATGAACACCGAAAACTAAGTTGCTGAAACTGAATAGGTACTTTATTATATTTGGATCTAGGGGAGCATATCTTCGTATGAAGATCAGTAATGCCGGGTGCATAACTGAACAGTTTACTGTCGTTTAGGCTCTTTTCAAACGTGACGGGAACCTTATTCAACAGCCGGGTAGTCCTTACGGATCCATCAGATCCAATAACCTTTGCAGCAGGCAGGCTTAGGAACCCTAGTAACCGTACTCGTCGAACTCGACAAAAAGGTCGACGTACAACTTAACCCATGTATCAGCTCACTAAGTTTCTCGCCAGATCTTCTCAGCGGGTCGCGATTCCGATCCGGTAGTAGATTTATTCGCGAACCAGTTGCTCTTGAGTTGTTAGGTCTCCTTCGGAGGCGCTCGGACAGCTGTTAGCAAATCCCACCCCTCCTGGCTGAGACTTTGCTCGTCCACCTGCCCTGGTGAAACTGGAAAGGCCTCCGGGCCACCAGTAATCCTTCAATCATAAAAAAAGGAAAGGCTGAACGTTGCACCCTATCTTAGTGTCTTCGACGTACCAATTGAAGGTCAAGTGTAATAGGAT